TTTATCTTGATAACCTTAGGGGATTATTGTATTTCTTCCGCTTACTCATACTATGCCCGGCGCCACGAGCCAAAAGCAAGCGTTAAATCTCAGCATGCCTAGGAAAATGTAATCACTTTTTATGCAATGATTGTGTCAAACAGATATTCTAAGTTTCGTGCCAAATTTGATCACATTTTTCAAACACAATTCTAAGTAGGAAACAAATCAAACAGCTGAGAAACCGCTGTGAGCATTGGCTGGCTAGGGACACTAGAGTACACGATTTATAATAAAAAATATTTACAAATTCACTATATCAATTTCATGTGAATTATCTTTGATTCGCAGAACAGAACTTACAGATACGCTGAATTCAAAATAGAAACAGGATGTGTCTTGATACCATGCAGCTGTAAAGGAAGTTTGATTCTCGTTAAAATATGGTTTCAACTATATATGGAAACCAGGTTTAGTGACAATTTCCTTCGGTTGTCCTGAAAGAGGATTTAAGGCCTATTCACTTCGAAAATATCCCCTGAAATGGATTAGGAAGTCTGTTTCATTGTAACGTTTATTTCTGGTCAATGACTCACAAACAATCTATTATGGTTATTAGATATATAGACATGCAAAAAGTGTCACACGCAGAGAATGCCGACGATGAAGTGCACGGGGTTTCAGTTAAAAGCAATACCTGTAGTTTAGGAATGTTTTTATTGCGGAGCAAAGAGACCTCGTGTCTACAGTATTTCTTACGACAGCAAGATATCGTAAATATTAAATAATATATACAAGATAAACAAAGCAGAGGTCAAATCAATCTTACATGATGTACTGTATCCATAGAAGTTGACAAACAGTTAACTGAAATCATTTTGACCAGCGTGCCTTAAACACGGACAGGAGTTAATTAACAGGAAATTTTAAATTTATATTGAAATTTCTCAATTATACTAAACTATACTTTCATGTCTGACTTACACAGCTGATAAAAGTGTTAAGATTATATGAGTAATTTCGCCAAACTAAAAAAAGTACTCTAAACTGATACGGCCCAACTTAATTAGGTCTAAATCAATCTAAAACGACCCAACTTAATTAGGTCACTAACATTGGCTTCATTTAGGAAGAAAGCTTTAATGCATGCAGATCGATGTAATGTCATACATAGTGTCATGAACGCCTGGACAACATGTCTTCTTGTTATGACTACTGTATAAGGTAACTGAGGGGGGCAAGGAAGAATTATACATGATTTTATATTATTTCCTTTCCTTGTGATAGAGCGAAAGCAACAAACGAATATCACTACTGAGTGATCGGAAAGTATTAATGACTGACTGCAGGTCAGAAAGATAGAACTTGTTAAACTCAGCAGGTTGTTCACAGTTTGAAAATAAGAAGATCATTTAGATAAAATGCTTTCTGGCAGAGTTGAAAAGAATAATCAGTGCCAAGGTTAAAATAATCGTAAGTTCGGAATATAAAAATTGTTTCATGACACCAACAAAGCCAAAATTTCAATGAGCGACAGTAGATTTTGGGTAATTACATGCTGAATAATTTCAGGTGATTCCAATATATACGGCTTTACGCTATTCGAACGTGGATACCATTCCCGAAAAACCTTCTAAGAGTGTATTCATGTGTCGGAGAGAGAAGGTCATACATACTCATTGCGCTTAATTAAGGGCAGAACACGGTGGTCGATTATAGAGCTGCGGATGTAGAACGGCTAGTCGATTACTGTTTCACCACTGCGTGACTTTCGCAAGTTACTTTGTTTTCTTTTCAAATGAAGAAAATAGTTTTTAATGAATTTCTTTGAAGAAAATACTGTTTTTTGATAGGTTTGTTGGTTTGTATTAGCACTGATAAATGTTTGATAAATGTTTGATAAATTATATACACCGTTCTGTGATGTAAGTATAACCAAAAAACCAGCATTTACCGACAATGCATCGAGCAATACATTGCTCAATTACAACAGATGTAAAAAAAAAGAAAATCCTGATGACCTTCCTTAAGTCTGTCCTTCGTGCACAGTACCTCGCTTCACTTCAAAGATATCTGACAGCAATGCATTCTGGTAAAATGTACATTGTCCGGCGGTATCTTTCTCGTTAGCTCTCGAATCTACATATATAAATATTTTGTGAAATAAAGGTGAATCAATCGTGTAATGAAACTCCTCGATAATGTACACTGATCTAGAAATAGTTTGCTTTCATATAAAGGTCAGTGATCCAGAAAATGTACAGAGTGTGTGGTTCAGTGGTTGGGTGGGTATTTGGTTCATAAACTTTTGGTAAACGTACACGGACCTTAATCTGTTTTGTGTGCAAAGTATGACGATAAAGAGGCGATCAATATTACTTGATTTATTATTTTTTAGACCAGATTTACGACATAACTGTCCCGCTGGGATAATACCTTCGTATTCAGATGCGGCCGTCGCGATATATTTTTTTAGCTATTCAGAGAACCCCACTAGGATGATTCAGACCTGGTATATTAATTATGAACTAATACTATGCGGCACCTTGCTAAGATGATAAGAGTTCCATTTACGGAATGATTATAGTATAGCATTCCATTGACCTCCTTGGCTCGAATTCCGAACTAGGGAGATGTGATTAGTAATTTGCCAATAATAAGAAAAAACAATGTCAGTGCAACTGAAAATTTTAAGCAGCCTGTGATACCACTAGTGAAATCAACTTGATTTTGAATGTAAGGAGGTCTAACATTAATTAAATAAAAGTGCGCTTCTTTCTCTAGAGTTCCAAGCCTTTATTTCATGAAGGACACGAATTGTTGAAGGGTATCGATGATAGAGTCATTTGCATACATGCAAGGACACACAAAATCAGAGAAAAATCTAAACTATATTTTACTTCACGACAGTTGTTTTTACACTAGGGAGATTCGTTTGTGCCTTACGTGCAGAACCAATTAAAATTAAATTCCTGCTCCACGCACAAGTCCCGCCTGGTGGAAGATGGCCTTCACGACTAATAGAACCTGATTTAAGTGGAAGTAAACAGGGTTAAGTGAGTGTTTAATTCCCTGCGCAGAGCCACACATGATTATGTGCTCGAGGGCGACACAAATTATATAGTCATCAAATGAAAAGACCACAAAGAAAGGTCTAGAAAGCTCTTACTTATGTAAATTGTAAAGCGTTAATTAAGTTTGTTTTCTTACAAAGAAGACCTCGTATTTTCATTGAAAACTTGAAGGTATTTTTCACAGTAGGTACATGATGTTCCAGCAAGACTAACGCATAGCGCAGTGACGATAAGATTTGCCCTCTTTTTTGCCCAAACCATTTCTGATAATCTTTATTATTCAAAATATTATTCGCGATCTTTTGCCAAACTTATTTACACGCTAAAATGTATTTGCCCAGCCTCGTACCCAGGCGCTTTAACGGTAAAAGATATAACGTTGCAAAGGGTCTTTCGTTGTATCTGTTTTGCCTGCAGTGTTGACCTGTTGCCCACCTTCTGGGAGTGGAGGGGAGAGGGGAGCGGGGAGAGGCGAGGGGAAGAAGAAGGGAGAGGGGTAATACACCGCTCAAAAATATAGATTTTGTGTGGAGGGATGTGAACCCTTAGTCATACGTATTCAAGTCCTTTTGAAAAAGAGACTGAATTAAAGTTAGACGCGCTGGTGTATGCCTTTAAAATTTGTGAATTGTTACATTAGATTCATCTGACCGTAAGGCGTAAGAATGTTTGATCAAGTTTATAAGCTCACGCTTTCTAAAACCACTTACTTATTTGAAGGTGCTACACACAAGCCGCAGATTATATCGTTAATATATTGACGTATTGAGGGAGTCAGTGATCAGGCCATGTTTTTTCATAAAAAATGTGTCCTACACGAGTGGATGGAGAGGATTACCCAAAGCCTCGTTCATTTATGGCAATTATGTGCTTTTAAAGAACTTGAAACGTAATTTTATAATCGTTAATCTGATACTGTAGTTACATATCTCATTAAAGTTAGTTGCTGTCTGCATGGTTAACAGCCTTATAGATCTTATACTCGTGTAGAAAAAGCAAACGATATTCATTTTGTCTAGATCTACTGATCTAGAAATATATACATTATTATATCCTGAAAAATTTCGGGTATTCTAATAACAAAAAATAAAATAACCAAAAGAGCAGAAGTTTATTAGCTCATTAGCTTATTTCATTAGCTCATTTGCTTATTTTATTAGCTATATCATAATATGTTCAAGGCCAAGAGAATAATATTGTTGGAATGTCAACAAAGTAATTTCGTCTAATCTGAGATTTTCGTGCGATTTTTAACAGGATCGCCCTAAACATGATTAGAGCTTGAAAACTTTTTATGCGAATTTCCGTCGGATGTTTTTAGTAAAATAAAGTTATTGAAAGATTTAAATTTGTTTTCATTGGCATGGAGTGGACGTCGTTACGTAATCATCTCACATTTCGACAATTAACTCTCATCGAGCTTAAAGATTAACGGTAGAGATTCGGGAATTACGCATAAATAATTGAGATAAAATTCTATGAAGTCCGGTCAATGCATGGGAGTATACATTTCTCTTCATTCTTGTTATCGTTGGGACTTTTTCAGTGTAATCATCGATCGCAGATCTTAAGTTTTAAGAAAAATGCGAAATATTTTCCCTTGCAGAAAAAAAACATTTCTGGTTCTCATTTTGCCGTTAGCAATGTTTGAAAGCTACTTGGTGGATTTTGATCAACCTTTTTTTGTGATATTAAAAAAGAGAGAATTCGATCTGAGAAATCCTTTCAGGGCTGCATATTTACCGTAAACGTCTAAATGGAGGAGGTGGGGTATTCATATAGCGGCTATAGCCACCCTTTTAACATTACTTCCTAATGTTTAGACTCACGTGATGCACAAACGCAACAATTAAACACCAGTTCTCAAACGATATACAGAATATTACTGGACTTAAAATTCCCTCACAAATTATTTTAATTCATCAATGAACAATGTATTTACATGCATTAATTTTGAATTCATTACGAATTTAAATATGAAGTTCACGACGAACTTATTACTTATATTACAATAATAATTAAATATAATAATAATTATAATCCACACAAACATTGGCGGGTGCACTTTCCGTGGCGGTTTATACAAACTCATCTCAACGATTATTTTTTTCTTTAGATATGAAAAGGAAAGGATAAATATCACGAATATGTTGCAAAGAATCTGGTATCAGACGAAGCTAAGCTGGCTTCTATATATGGACCTTTGCACATGACATCAATGTAGGAATTCAGTAGAAATTAAAATGAAGCAATAATAAGTACTGGAAAAATTGTGCTTTGTTAATTTTTTTTCCAGCCATCAATGAACAATGTATGAACCTTTACTTTTCGCATAACAAGTTTTTGTGAGAGAAAAGTGCATATGGGGAACGATTCCTAGGGGTGATGATATCAGTGCAATGTGCCGATATATATAGTGATATATGTAGTGATATCCTATCCAAAGTTGCACACCACGAATATATAAACCTATAATACAATTGCTATTGGTTGAAAAGGATGTTTAATAACCTCCAGGGTCTTCCCAGTAAAAACATTATGATTAGAAAGAGCTTGTACAGCAAATAACCCTGGGAAAGGCACCGAATATCTTCGGTGGAGATCGGCAACTATTTTACATCCCTCTTTGAAGATCTGTTTTTCAGATTTTGAACTTGTTTTCGCGATTGGTGAAATGTCTAACGTGTTAACTTCGCCCGTGGAAACACTCCAGGAGAGAAGAAGAGAAAATGAAGATATTTCACGTCTGTGAAGAAATGGATAAATTTGTTGATTAGTAAGGTGAGTCGTGAGAAGGTGGGGGAGCTGAACCATGTAAATACGACGACGACAAACTCCTTCAAGTAGTTGTAAGGAAATCGTGTCGTAAATTATCGAGAGTACGAATACTGCAACAGCAGTTGAGGGGTGGGGACATGCACTTTATGTTTGTGAGGGGAAAGTCGTCCGTCTTGCGCTTACACTACACACCAAACGAGTATTCTACCTGACCAGAACAAAACTACATCGAGAAGTTTTATTCTCATGTCGTTCAATCATACAGGTTTCTCATGGACTTTAGAAATACTCGTAGAAATTTTACGGTGCCCAAATTGCATATTCTCTTCAATGTCATACTGCAGCACCAGTATAATAAATACGGGTCAAGTGCATGTACAGTTACCTTGTGGCCTTCTCAGTGTCCTCCTGTACTGATAGTATAATAGCAATATTCACGATGACACATTGACTGCCTTCACAAACATCAACCAGTAAAGTACTGTAATTTCTAAGTGCCCAATATTTTCCTTTTAGTTCATCTGAAGTATTCAACGCTTCGTTAATGTATCTTTCGATATCGAGTGAAATGACTCTCGTGTGAATGCAGGGAGAAGTATGATCTTTCACTTCTTTATTATCTTGAATGTTTTCCAACAACTTATAGGGTGTACCTGAAGCTGTGTTAACTTGTATATCGAGATAAGATGTACCATCGATGACAGTACTAGTCGAGATATTTTCCAATATTTTAGGATCTGTCCGATTAGAAAAAGTCTTAAAACTAAAGGATGAGAGGTGGGAGCGTTTCGAAATCTTCGGATATTCCTCATCTTTAACAAACTTATTTCCATCATTGCATTCAATATTTTCAGGGTTGCTGTCAATTTCTTGGTTGATACTTGTCAAGTTTGTATGATTGCTTGAATTAGACGTACAGTGATTACAATGTTCAGTGCTTGACGAACCTAATTCATTCTCTGATTTTTCCTGAGACCCAGTACACGGACTTTTCACCTTGGTCGGGGAACCTACTCTGTCGCTAGCACCTGAAATTTTTTGAGCAACCTGGCTCTTCCCTCGAGGTAACTTTGAGGTTTGAAAGGAATTATGCTTTTCAGTGGCGTTTTTCACTAAAATAACATCCTTTTCAGCGTGCTTTTTTAATATCTCATTCTTCGACTCCGTAACCAGACTATTCACACAGTACGTTTGATCACCCTGCTCTTTATAACCGTCAGGATTAGTGGTAGGTTCAAGTGTATCGTGTTCAGTACAAGGAGACGCGGTGATAGCAAGTACGGAATCAACCGTATTCAGGATAACAGTATTTTTCAGTTTGAACTGTATGCGTGGTATAAAGAGTGGGAAAGGTGTCAGGAGGTTATATTTCATGTGCACAACCCATGTGTCATCACATGTTGCTGTAGTAGTTTCAGGTGGAGAGGAACATACTGATACATAACATTGTCTGCATTGTTCATCTCTACCTAGATATCTAAAGATACAGAAAATACAAATTACAGCTATTTTACTGTTCTGACTTGTTCAACCTCTGATAGGAGTAACATTCTATAATATAACTGAAGTAGAAGACTCACGCATAACCATGGACAAGAATTCTATTGTCATTCAATGTGTGACAGACTATTAATAGAAGATCTTCTGCGATGTGTTCACCAACAAATAAAGATACATGAGAAACCTGAAATATTTCAATGCAGCCATTAGCATGACATGGGAGTAGATTTTAGTATACTGCATAATTTAGGATATCAAGGTCATTGGATGTCACCAATAATACCAGTGCTTATATGATTTTATATGACCAATTATGGTATGTTGCATTTACCTTTTGTAATGGTCTTCTCAGATTAAACTTCCACCAATGCAATGTGTATTTAAACAATCCAAATGAAACGTCATCTTGTAGTTCTTTATAGTAGGACAATAAATATTTCCCACATTTTGTGAAACCAAGCAATACATGTCTGGGTAAGAGAAATTGATTGGAACATTGATCATGTCTAATTTGAGTCTTTTGAGACAAATTGTTAAGTTAGGAATATTTGAATAAGGCAAAGAAAATCCTTGATTACCCCCTAGCAAAGGAATTATCTTCTTGTATTTCACACAGTGAGATACAAAGCCGAGTGTGATCAAGATTTGTCTGTAGATACGAGCGAGGAAATTGAGCATTGAAAGGGACACCTCCACGAACCTAAAATAAGAACTCAACCTTTGAAAACGTCATTAGAGTTAAAAATCAGTTTAATTAGGGTAATTAAGGCTATATAATTAGCCATTTACCTTGTGATCTAAATGCATGTACTAGTGCCTTTATTTAAAGCTTGAATTTAAACTGAATTTAAACACAATTTTACAATGTCGAACCTTAGGGTTTTTGTACTCTAAAATTATAAAATATAATCTACTTCACTGACTAAAATGCAGTTACCAAAGTTTTGGTTAATACACAAAAAAACCGTGGGTTATAAAAACAAAACTTAAAATATACATTGTAAAATGTTATTTATTAAATGTTATTTAAACATTAAATATCACCTGTCTCAATATACATTTGTTGACAATATTGACATTTCTTTGACGTTTTGACCCCATGTATTACTAAACCAATGAACAAATTAAATACATTGTTTCAAACTTTGAATAATGGCGGGTCTACAAACAAAAAGAAATTACTTGAAGTAATTCAATGAAAAACTGATTCACGGGCTCAGTAATTCAACATGGCTGTTCAATATTAGTCATCTTCTTTGAGGAAAATCAACTTTAACGAATTAATTTTATGTATTAAAACAATGCCTCAAACAGCAACTGACGCAGAAATTAACGAGGCAGCAGAGTCATTTATTTCATTTTTAAAACAAGGGTAGGTCTGTTGTTTCTTATTGTATTAACACTGCCGTAAGGTAATTTCATTTTTGAGTGAAATGTTTGTTGTTTTCTCTTGGGCAATGCTTCGAATCGTGTGCGTTAATTTATCCATTTTCTTTGTTTTTCCTTTTGTCTTGCAGAAAAGTAATGATAAAATGTATTACTTAATTAATTATTACTAGTTTACTACAACTTGATATTGCTATACTCTCAGTACTCTGTACTTACAATACGCCTCCCCAGCTCCCCTGGCAAGGATTCACACTTCTTGATGATTCACCCTTGGGGAAATATAAGAATATTTAAGCTCTCCCTCGGGAATTCCGGGCCATAGCATAACTACCATAAAGGAAGATTGACTAGGCCTTATATTAGTTTTCCCCACCCTTGTGGAATTCCAGGCTATAGTTTACCCTGGCCCCAGGGAATTTTAGGTCATAGTTTAACTACTCCTGGTTCCATTGTGCTTCCACAAGAGGTATAGTTAATAAATGAAACGGGAATATTGAGAGGAAGACAATATATTTTAATTTGATGTGTGTGCAAGGTTAATGTTAAGTTTAAGGTTAGTAGTTGCAGGTTAACACTAGGATAACTCAAGTGGGGTATATTTTGTAGCAAGGTTGAGGGCAGGATTAAGTTGTGCAATTAATAGGCTTTCACAAGTAAGAAGATCTTAGAAACGGAAACAGGATGTTTTTGCATATGCTTGTAAAGTGTAAACACAAGTATGCCTGACACAGTCTAGATGAAGTAATATTTTCCAGTCAAAGGTGAAACCCCGATATGATCTGGAGTATTTATGTGAATGAGTTAGTGTGTAATTGATGTCTTTACAATGCACAACAGCATAGTCACATGAAGTGGTACATAGCATTTCAAGCAAAAGGGATTTTGCTTCAAATAAAAAAGATAGATCGAAAGGTTGGTGACACATGGCACGGAAAATCACATATATGAAATGGTGTTGATAATTAGGGTCCTTAACGCTAATATATATAATGGCCCATCCCACTTGAGTTTGTTAGTGTTATGATAATAACAGGTAGTTAATAACCTCACACTTAACATTAACCTTGCACACATAGTTGTTAATACAAATATGTTGTCTTCGTTTCTTTAGTCTCTTTTGTTCTTTCAAATTTGTAAGCATTTTTTGTAACACAAAGTTATATAGTCAAACTATTATATTTTTCATACTATTTTATAATATATCATCATTTGTAATCATGTAAAGCTGTACTGCTGCCTTTAACATTTCTAGAAAGCTCCGTAATTCTTATGATGTTGCATATCAGACTGTACAAGTTCTCAGAAAAGTTATAGCACATAAAAAATGGAGTACTGCTGGGTATATGTATACTTTATAAGTTTATTTCTAAAACCCATCCCCCAGTATTATTGATAATATATTCATGGTTACGATTCTAACTAATTTACTGTAAACAATTCTAAACAGTAAATACAATGAAAAAGTTATTGATTTCACATGTCATTGATTTGATCACGAAAAATTATTCAATTTAGGGATCTCATGAATGATTTAAAGACAGTTGGTCAAAAGATGACAAGTGCTCAACCTATAGGTATAAATCCTGTGATTTAATTGCTCAGCACCTTTCCTTCAACTTGTTTCTATAATTTCAAATTTTGGTTTGTATTTTTATAGAGACTACTGTGGGGAATATAGTAAGAAGAGGTTTGTACATTTATACCTTTGTAGTTTTTTCAAGTGTCTTGTCCTACATTTTGTAACTAAATTACGGTGGAACAACATCATTTCATACGAGAGATTTAGATTTAGAAAAATATTTTCTTTGAATATTACACTCTATGTATTTCATAAAAATTTTCTTCCACAAAACTGTTCAATATACACAGAAGTTAAAAAGAACAGTTTTAATTGATGAACAACCACAACATTTTCTTTTTATAGTCTTGAAAATAATTAGGGAAGAATATACTGGGTAAGGAATACAAAAAAGTTGATATGATTGTCTGTCAGTTTTTGCGTGGGACAGGTAACAGTCTCATGTCCAGGTACACCACATTCAGCTACTGATATAGAACCATATATCATCATCTCCTGACTCTCTCTGATTTGGTGTTGACTTTCATCATTTTGGTCAGACTATTATAGCGACAAATTAAAAAGGTTTCACATCAATAGTAGTAATTTCACCTCAGGTTCCTCTATCATACATAAATGCAATAATTTGGTCATATAATGTCAGTGCAATCGGTGACCACTTTGGTATGACATGGTTTTATCAATTTCAAGGGACAGTGGAAATAAGTCAGAAGAGGGAGATACTGAAGAGTCTCTTCATGTATGTATGATATACGTTGCCTGCGAAGCTGTAGCTTGAACCTAACTAAATATCAAGCACTCTGCGTACTACATTCCCGCGATTCCTGTTTGCATCAAAATAGTTTCTTCGGGAGGATACACGAAACTCTACAAAAGCTCAGCAATGGGCCAATTGCAAATGTTTCGTAGTTGCCAAATTCAAATCTTTCAAAAGTAGAATTGCATTGAAAGTCGCATGAAAAATTGCACCGTGTGATACGGCCTTGGCCCTTTAGCAAAAACATTAAATTGTGCATATTTAAAATATTCATGGGTATTTAAACTGTGTAAATTTCAAGGACTTGAAGTCGGAAATTAATTCCAGCTGTATTCATTAGAAACTGTTGTTAGCTCAAAAAGGATCCGAAGATTTTAGTAAACCAAGTCATAATTTAAGGGTATGTGTTCTACGTACTTCAAGATTATTTTCATATATATTTGCTTTATGATTTTAAACTGTACCTTTTTTTATCGTACCCATAGATGACGGTTATTGATTCGGTGAATGAACTTATTACTGAAATTGAATCAAGGTATAATTCTGTTGTGACCAATGGCTTTTAATTCACAGTTACTGAATTTAATTAAATTCTCATTCAGTGCTTACAATATCAGCAGTCAAGCATTAGAACATATTCATTCAAATGAAATTATAATGACAATTGGCAAATCGAATACCGTGCAAGGCTTTTTAAAGGTATTTGAACTGTATACAGTTTGTAAGTTACCTTAAGTTACTACTATTTTGTTGTAGGATACTCCCAACCTTCGTATTTGTGCGTTTTCATAAACTATCATCAATTCATTTAAATGTACATATACGCTCAAATACTATATTCACTGTCATGCATTCAATGAAATAATTAAAAGATTTATTCTTATTCTTGGGGCTCTATTTCTCGAACAGCACGGGGCACCATGCTCTGACTCTTAAAAAGGTACATTGGATAGGTTATTGAATATAACGTATTTTTGTATAATTTACTTTTATGCCAGAACGCTGGTCGTAAGAGAAAATTTAGTGTTATCGTGGCCGAAGGAGCACCGTTTTTCAAGGTAGGACCAATTAAGAAGAATTTTCCAGGATCAACCTTGTACCCAGGCTCTTATAACTCAACGGATGAGCACAGAATACTCTGGGAACGCGGTTACTCCTGACACACTTGGTGTGATTTTCAAGCCAAAACCCCGCATCTTTCCCGAGACTTTTGCAATGTTTTTCAGAATCGGCCTGTCTCATACACACAATCCACTGTCTTCTGCTGGAGATGAGAAATCACTGTCTCCTTTTAGGGTCATGAATTAGCCAAAAATCTGGCTGAAGATGGCATCGAAACAACTGTTATTAACGACTCTGCTGTGTTTGCTATTATGTCCCGAGTTAATAAGGTAAATATCTAAAAACCAAGAGAATCCTGGCTGTGCGTAGAATAAGACAGAAACAACAGTACTTCTGATTTCTTGCAGCAGTGTATAACAATAAGAAAATTTTAAAATTTCAGGTTATAATTGGTGCGCATGCTGTGATGGCAGATGGTGGGTGAGTGTTTCACTTGTTGGCTTGTGGTTAGACTAGCGCTAATGTGTACGTTGATAGTTATTGTGATCCATCAATTGTTTTTAGATTTAGATGAAAGGTATTTTATTATTTTTTAGGCTTCGAGCTGTCAATGGTACTTTATCTGTGGCATTAGCAGCTAAACATCATTCTGTACCTGTAAGTTCATCAACTTATTCACTTATAGGGATTAGAACAGTCCAATAGTACGCCCTGAAGTGTATAAACACGCTAATATTGGTCTAGATAATAATCCCTATACATCCCAACTTTACCTCAACTCTAACTTGGTTATATCGTGATTTGCGGTTAGGAAAGGGTGGCGGTTAGGGAGTGGGTTCAAAGAGAAAATATTTCATGCGCGTAACATGACCATAGTACCCCTAGCGGAACCTAATAGAAAGCACTAGTCATGACCATATTTCACGCACCAAAGAAACTCGGACAAAAAAAAGAAAAGACATTTCGTATTTGCTGCCATGATGGGAAAAGCGCTAAGGAGTATACTGTTGTAAAAAAATATAGAAACATACTGTCACTTTGCGTATTAATTATTGTCAAATGTCGCTATTGATTGCTGATATATTATATTCTTCTTCAGCTCCTGGTATGTGCTGCAATGTACAAACTTACACCTCAGTACGTCGTGTCGTATGACCAGGTACGGATTTTAGAGCTGGGAATACTCCAGCCACGTATACTTTTACAGGTGTTTTACAGGCTAAAAGAACTTAGTTTCATCGCATATCTCTGTTCTTTATATCGCGTATTAAACAATATATGTTAATTGGGAAATCAACCGTCTTTATGCATATTAGTTCCTGTAGTATTTGGATATACCTGCATGATGCTGGTTCTTCTGAATATTGAGAACTCGAAATCTGATTATAAATATTTATTTTCAGGACAGTCACAATAAATTCATGTCACCGCATGATATCGTCAGATTTTCCGAAGGTATCTTTGATAATTATATTATCAATTTTTTGACACCTTTCCTCAGGGCTGGTTGTGATCACAGCAATGACTTAATCAGGCCCACATCCGTGTGCAGCTAATTGAAATTAACTACAAATTATATTTCTCAGGCAGCAGATTGCCTTGTAAAACCAGGGAAAATAATGTCCCTCTTATGATTTTATACTTCAGTGTTATAACCATCCGCTTGTTTAGGAGATATTTTAGCCAAAGTTCATGTTCAAAATCCTGTGTTTGACTACGTTCCACCTGATCTGGTCAATCTGTTTATTTCAAACATGTACGTATTATATTCTTTTCCGTTTACATTTTAGTAAATAGAAGCAGTTTGATTAGACATTCAGAGAACATCTTTTGTCAATCATTATTGTGTTCAATAATTCTGCTGACTACATATGAAATTCAAGCACAAAAAATAATTATATTGTTTTGTTTTTAGAGGTGGTAATGCACCGTCGTATGTCTATCGATTGTTAACCGATGTTTACCATCCGAATGATACTGACTTGAAATGAAATTACAGGGCTGGGTTTATCGCAGCTAACGTAAAGTTAAAAAATGAAAAGCCATTCATGCAGTCATTCATGATTTCATGTAATGCACAATAAGTAACATTATTTGGCGTGGGGACTGGTCTTAAAGTGCTTTTAGCGCTGAAACTCGAAACTGAACAAGTAGGCAGTGGGACACCCAATATTTGTGTGAAATTTCGCCTATTTTGGATAAAAAATGTTTGAAAGGTAAAATCATTTTGAACTATTATGTAAATAATGGATTAATGAAATTGACAATATCTTGCAACAAAAGACATTTGCTCAAAAAAGGACATTTTCTCAACAAGATAAATTCATTCAGAAAAGTTCATAAGAGTACATGAACCGTTAAACAACACATAGAATAACTTACTAAACTGCACTAAAAAACTATTATAGCCTCTTTTAAGAAAATTCTTTAAAAGAGTCAAAGATGTTGACTCTCTAATTAATCTAATATGCTGGTAAGGCGAATTCGAATCCTTATGCGTTTGATAGGGAAATCGTCGTTTTTCATTCATCAAAATTACAGGGCGGGGGTCCTTAAAAACTAATTCTCTGCGATGTGTCGTATCGAAAGCGATTTTGTGTAATACATTAATTCAACATAAATAAAGTGGTGTTGAAGATGTTAATTTTATTGTATTTTGATACATTTTATTTACAGTTTAGATATTAATATTTACAAAAAATCACTTTGATTCACATTAATTGCTGTCATCTTTCGCCTCGTTTTTGTCGTTTTCTTCGTCGCTTTTTGCGCTAAGTGGCGGAGCTGAACCACGAGTGACGTAATCACGCGATTCCATAGGGTATGGCTGTATACGTGGACCAGCGGTATCTTCATGATATTTTGCTCGCAGTGGATACGGTGCAACCGGTAGTTGGTATTTAGGATAAACGCTTATTGGGGAGAACGCAGGGCTGGGGAATCCTGGGAAGAAACTGTCATTTCGCGGAAAATTAAACGTCTCTGGTCGCAAGTGGAAATCCTTAGAAAGTTCATGTCCTTGTAAAGCAGTAAGATGTGCTGAAGCGAAATGATTTATTGTATCAGGCTTATATTTATTTAATATTTGTTCTATGGCTTGAATCACATCTCCACGGCAAGCTTGCAGGATTAATTGTAAAACATTCACTTTCATTTTGGGAAAAATGCGCAACAGTAGTTCAGTATTTGATAGCCGATGTCTAGCCGGAAAACTCCGAAGTGCCGCCGAAGGTGCTGCAATTGGAACTCGGTTGAAGACTTCGTAGTCGTAAAGTCGTCGTTTTTTCTCAGCATAAGACCGTTCACCAGGGTATGTGATATCTTGGGAATGGACTGTGTCATCGTGAATTGTATCCGAAAATAGCCTTCGCTTAAGATCTAACGGAAATAAGAGAATTCAGCAAAAAAAAGATTACGAGACAGAATATACTTTAACTTATCTCTTGATTACGATTAATGAAACGTCATGTGTATATTATTGGGTATACCAAGTCTTCTCACAACTAATAATTTGCATCTAATGGAGACTGCATTTGTTATTCTAGCTTCTAGCTATTCTCGTCACAAGAGATAGTGTTTTTTAAATAGATGTTTCAGTCATGTATTAAATATAGTTTAGCATCTGCTGGTATCAGAGTTTGAAATAATATTATGCACCAAAGTTGTGAGTGTTTGATCAGTTACAATGCTCACTTCTCTCATTTTAAAACGGTTCAACTGCATCAGTGCATGTCACATATTTATTCAATATTGCAGATCACTCGCGTTCGGACACATTTTAAACTGAATCAACTGAAGGTTTAAACAGCTGGTCACATGCATATTGAGAACAAACTACTTGGGATCGCTTAACTTCCTACTGTACATATGCCATTGAGTTTGCACATAAGCCTAAAGAAAGAAACGCGCTTCAAGTTTTAAAGACGCCGAAATATCACCACTTTCTAACCGAAAAGCTATTTTGAAGAACAAAAGTGATCGTCGACCGTGCGGAGAAAGTTTCAGTTAAATTTTGTGCGTTGTGGTATGTACGATGCGAACGACAGAAGGCTATTGACGCGCATGCGTATCTTTTTATCAGTGATAAAGTGCTACAGAACGCCTACTTCGATTTTTCAAGATTGTTACGCAGGCTATAAAATTTTCTTTAACAAAAGATCTATATTGTTTTTAATCAAAATATAAGCAATTGAGTGTCGATAGGATCAAACAGTAAATGGGAATTCTTTATCAATGAAAATGAGTAATTATTTGTTATCAGTTGCAAATCGGTAGAAAATATCGGTGGGGTAGCACATCACGAAATGTAACGTACTCGACGGAAATTTGCTTAAATAAAACTGGCGAAGTTAACTATTTGATTGTAAACTTTAAACAGGCATAAGTCACTTTTTACTCAATTGTGCCAGGATTAAGTCGCATATGTATATATAGAATGATTATAGATTTAAAGATAAAGCGGACCCCTTAACTTCGCAATTGATATAAGATAACATTTAACAGAGCTGTAAGCCTGTATTTAAACATTAAAAGTGCGTGTCTATGTTCCTTAGATGAGCACGTGCGTGACGTTTAAGACGTGATATAATACTGTCAATGTGTGCAGGCGTGAAGTATCAACACGATTCAACACTAACTGATGAAGCTGCTCGATGATACTGATATCTTGAAAACTGTTGGACACCGGGAAACGACACTGCCCGTGTGCGCACATTTTAATATTTAATTTCAGGAATATTCTGTTTTCTCTTCTGCTTAACTAGTTTAGACCACAACTGTGTTAATGTAATTGATATTTGTATAAAACTACTGTTCATACAGCGTCAAAATACCAAACTTCTGGCCCAAGTTTTCAATTATTTACTCTGCGGTTCTTTTGAACGAATAACTTAAATTAAACAAAAATGCGGTGACTGCATTTTAAAACATTCGCTGTGGCGACACAGAGGCGTGTAACTTTAAAAGCTACGAAAAGGAAATATGATAGAACTCAGATCCAACGGATTCGGTTTTATTTTTGAATCATCGGTTAATTCGAGCATATAAAAGGAGTGGTTTTCCATAAAGATTAGACACGATACTATACACAATGATAAACTGGCTGCTGTAAGTTGCTTTGTGTAATTGTTAAAGCTACAAAAGTTTGGCGCAATGATAAGAAAGCCAGACTTAAACTGTTAAAAGACAAACAATTAATAATTAATAAGTTTAACACTAACCTTGAAAAGGGGGAGCATTAAATGGACGAAATGCGGAGCATGTGCAGTTGCTTGGGCACATTTCACGATTGAAAAAATTCTGCGTTGGAGCTAAAATTTTTGAGAAACATGATAAGTATAAACATGTAATTGACTTCAGAATTATTTCACAATTTACATACTAAATCTTGCCGTATAACAGCTTTACATACAGAGCGTGTGCAACATGCGGGCAAAATGCTTCACTAATTAAATTGTTACGCAAAGGAAAAATAACTATCCGGTTTTTTCCACTTAATTATCAAAAGTCGTATACTGTGACGTCGTTTGCCTTACTCCGAGTAGCCCCTACTGAGTCTAAATTGATTTGGGTATAATATATTTTTAAGTGTATTTTATCTATGCAAACAAGCTTTGTATTGTTTAATAATGCCCTTTCACCTGCTTCAAGGTTTTTTGACTAGATTTTCAAAGAATGACGCTCGTTTTTATTGCTGTTAAAACGGCAACTATAAATAATTGTATATTTACGTGTAGTTCACGCATTATCTTTTGACTGAATTTGCAAATCTTTTTAAATACATATAATATAACTCGAAACCTTTTCATACATGCGTATCTTCAGTTCAACTGTTAAATACTATGCGACTATTTAGAATTTAAGATAAGATTTTGGTTTCTTTTAGCAGGTTTTTAAATACTTCTGGGCGTTTTTGATTTGTAGATATGCTCACCATTACGTACCTAGTTTGTTGTAGTCGGATGGAACAGAACTGGGCAATTCATTTGAGGTCGATTCATCCGTCGTGTTTTCACGTTCAATGGGAGATCGTCTGTTCTCAACGGGTGACTGCGTCTCTCGTTTCACTTCAAGATCTAGGTCAAAAATGTTACAATTTCAAGTAACATTTGGCAGAATGAAACCCCACCCGCATATTTGTACATTTCTATCCGACCTCACAGGGACATGTACACATTAATTCTAATCATAACAATAGGATAATGTCTAGAGGTTCATCTTTTGAGGATTCATTTTGTACACTAACGAAACGTCCTCAAAATAGTTTTACCGAACAATTTTCTGCTTGAGGTAGATCATAACGCTACGTTTTTAAATATGAAAATTACGAATTTAAGAGAGGCAAGTCACTCAAAAAGATTTGGACTTCATTTAATGTTCTATTTAGATAATAGTCAATATTGTAATAAAATGGCCTCAAGAAGTCATTATAGAAAGTGTAATTTTGTAGCAACTAAAGTAAATCCAACTGCGCTGTTTGAGTTTTAATAATAAACTCTGCCATATGTAGCGTATATTCCGAACAAATATAGAAAACCTTTTCTATACGCCATTCCTTACAAAGAGCTAGAAAAAGGGTCCTGATATAATTGCGACATTTTAAATAAAACTTGTATTTTTCCAATTTCCTTTAACAATTGACGTTTAATTACTACCTTGACTGGACACGGTTATTTCACTACTTTCGTTTTCTTGACTATTATCTACTGGACTTGTAGTGCAATATTCCTCGTTGCCTCCTTCTTGTCTTGCAAGAGCAGTGAATAAGTCTCCTGGCGGTAAGGGATCACGAAATTCTTGCATTTGCTGTCTCCGCAAGGCAACCTGAGCTGCTAGCACTCGCTGTCGTTCAGCTATCAACATGCACTTTGGGCAAAGACAGTCTCTCCAACGACAGAAGCCTTTGTGGCCTTTTAAAATGGAGTCAAAGCCATGGTTTCTGCAACGAGCGCATTTTGGTGTTCTTTTCTTCTCTTGTTGACTTGCCGCCTGTGATCCAACAAGACTGCTCATCGCGCGTCACCGATGCTCTGTGCTTAAATCGTGTTAGAAGCAATAGTGCGTGATACACTCGGCAGGACAGAAATGCAACTGTGTTAAGAATGATACTAGCTTTTAAAGTTATTCTTTTTAAACTGTAACTCGTAGACCTTTTTGCTGCCCAATCGTGCATCGCCCGCTATTATTTCACACTCAGGTCGCCTTTGTGATTGGTCAGTCTCGATTGACATGATCAATACGCTAATTGGTTGAATGACAAAGAGTTGTAGTAAAACGCGCCTCTCATTCGCTAATTCAGGTTGTCCAACCAGGGCACCTGTACCAAAATGTCGGTGGAACAGGTGGAAATGGTTGAAACTTCAACGAGAAATAAAAACAAATAAACTTTTATAACTAATTCCTATTCTTTTCAAGTAAATGTTGATAATTATATATTGAAGACAACAAGGGAAATATCCGAAAAGAAAAGATCAACGCTCAACGCTATTAATAAATGTTTCATACTGTACCGCTTTCACTAACTAGCCACAATTAAAATTTCTAATTTTATACATTGTAAAACTGGGTCTGTTTCAAAAACAAATGTTTTCAAACGGAAATTGATAGAATGATAGGCTAAAATCGACATTTATTTATCCAAGAAAGTCTTGTTATTGTTTCAAATGGTTTAAGTAAACTGTGCATATTATAATTTAGGAAAACCACGCTTTAATTATTGCTGCTAACAACAGACTAATTTTTGCCTAGACTTTGAAGCCGCATTTCTTTTGAGACTTCCGACATGGCGACACGAAAGTCAAATAAAAAAGACAGATAGCAAGTCGTACTATACATCATACGACTTTAGATATTCTGTACGTGATATCAACTGAATTCAAATTATACGAGTACTTAAAAATATGCTAAGATTCAGCAGACCGTGGATTTGTTACACTTACTGACGCGGGCAGAGTCAAAACATTTCATTATTAATATACGACAGAAACGGCAATTTCAAAGACTTGAAACGTATTAATTTGTCGTAATTCCTAAGGAAAATTAAGTAGACTTCGTTAGTCCATTAGATATTCTCTTAAACATAGATAGTTTGCAACGTTTGTGAGATTATGTTGAATATAAACATAAAGTTTTAATAAGTTTTAAACAGCAACAGATTATTATAAATGCAACTGTTGTTTGAGCATTATTGGTCTTAGAGCATTGAACGGAAGCTATTGATCAAGAGTCAAGACAAAAACATCACTGAGTGTATGTGCAGGTGCCGTATTAAGAAACACTATAGCCTAGATCTCGCCATGGAGTATGATATTAAGATATCAAAATGATCAATCTTTGAACGACTGCAAAGATTATAAAGAGTTAAGTAAAGGTCTAAAGGCGTTCAAAAGTTCAATGGTCGCGGTGCCAAAGCCAAAGTTCAAAATTATTAAGACGACGTGACAGCAACATTTTGAAAATGCAAATATTATGCTTCGTAAATAATATATACATTGACACCAATGTATTTGTTGTTACGCTAAAAAAAATATATATATATATAACTTCGACGCGTACAAAACAGATGACTTTAGCATTTTTCTCAACTATATATATAAGTATAATATAAATACATGATATTGATAATATATACCGGCTATATATATATAGTTGAATATAGCTTATTGCATATTACATATGACTGCACATGCGATCATAGACTATATGTCAAAGTGTTTATATTTTGACGTAATGAGACAACAAGGAACATATTTGAATGAAATATGTTAGAATTTTTATACTTTTTTAATAGTTTTTTTGCAAGTTTAATAACGTTGACACGTGCTGCATGAGTTGCAGCATATACATCATTTGACAAAGACCCAACAATAAGACACGAACTAATACAACCTAATATACAAGCGTCAATTTTTCACTTTTTAAACCAAAGATCTGTAGAACAAAAAGGATATATGGCCCTACTGTTGTGCGTTGATCTATTAATTCAACTGAACGGCAACGGATGCACATATATGATATGCTATGCATGGCGCATCCCAGTTAGATTTAGGAGAGCTATATTTAAAGTGCACGTTCTGTGTGTGAAACGTTGATTATCCAAGGTCATGAGCTAATGCACGATGGAGAAATCTTTAGAAAGATTAACATTTATTGTATCTGTTTTAATTTTCACTAAGTTAGCCATGGCTTTGTCTATACGACGATCTACAACAATATTATTTATGGGACTATATATACTATACGCATGCGTGCTTGATTAAAGTGGCTTGATATTTATAAATATATCATGCCAAAGGCCGCGATAGCAAGGCATCGATATTTTTTTTTTTTTCATGGATTTTGAATATAATCACACTGATGACGTCGCGCATGCATCACTGGACTTTTCTCCGAAATTCCAACTTCTCAAATCGACATATGCATGCATGCATGCATGTCGACCTGTGTTGCTGGCATTGGACCAACAGATCTTCATGTCCGTTAGTTCGGTTCCACCACAATCAAACATGTTCTGCTTGCCCTATTGGTTAGGAAAAACCCACAAAGTCAAAGAAAATTATGTCTGACTGTGTTACTTTCACCTATATGAACAAATATTGAAGATTTCATATCGGCCCGCCATATATATGAGGAAAGTCACTCATTTCAACACCATATGCGCGTGACTGTGATCATATCCATAGCTTTTTACTGTATGATAGTTTTCTGCGAATACACTTAATTATAATATTTAATGCTCAGACTAAATTTAAAGATACAAATTATATAGACACGCTGTAATTTGGTATACAGTCGTGCACTTGCAAACGTAACTTTGGGCATACAAAAAGTGGGAATTTTATGAAAAATATATCTTGTTATTAAATCGTAATTTCATATGCATCTAAATCATCATCTTATTCAACGGTAATAACAATAGTTTGCCGGAAAGCTTTGTCGATAAAGTAGTTAATGACTCCCACACTACTCTCCAATGCGCGGTCAATAAATGTTACATAAATATTGTTTAAATGTCATTATTAAAAATAGATAAACAACTTGAACTCCGGATCGCGCCTGCTGTGGCTCGCTTCCTACGCAATTTACATTGTAAACCCTCTTTCCAATCCTCGATATGCCGTAAACAATTGAAAAATGGATGTGGCTACAAGAAGACATGCATGTTGAGGGTCACGCGTGCGCGAGTTTAACTATATTTCAGCCTCCATTTCGGCGGTACACGACAAAGACGAAAAATAATCACGCAACGTATAAAAGCATTTTTCTAATAATCGTTATTTAGTTCTTATTGATTAAACAGTGGGGGATATAGCTTTACCGATCTACAGAAATTAAATATCAACATAAAATATCAAGTATATATGCACTGAAATAACGGCTTAATTGAGGCATCGATACTAAGTCTAAGCGTATAGTGTTAGCAAATTAAACACAAGCATGCAAAAACATCAATATTACATGCAGCTTTTTACATAAACCGTACTCTCATGTGTCAGTTTGTCAGTTGAAGACTCCTCTCATGCAGCCGAGCATTCGACGAGTGATGGTCGTCACTCATATAGCTATGTCTCCTTCAGATCCAAGAATAACCAAGACTCCATTTGCCGCCACACTTGAGGATTAAACAATTGACGATTATCTATATAGACGAGAGAACAAATATTAATATAAGACGCCGAAGTATAATCTCTCTAAATGCGCTGCATTTTAGATCTTGTATATATACATACGATTAAGATGTTTTAAATCGTTAAACAATGTACTGGATGTATATATGCATCTAGGACTTAGTATAATATATAATATATAAAAGATGCTTTTTACTATTGCCGTATTCGCATAATAACTTCGCGCTTCGTGATTTTTTTGCTTTTACTATTAAATTAAAAGCGCAATGTGTATACGTGAAGAATTTTCCCCGCCATTTACCGAAACTCGCGCATGCTCTTTATGTTGACTGCGGTACAAATTAAGACGCGACGATATTGATATTGATGGCACACAACACTTCTACACTAAAAGTCTGCACGCGATTACGATTCGTACGCTAATATATGTATGTGATCGAATAAACCTGCTAGCGCATGAACAAAAGTCGCATTTCAAATTTCAACTTTAACAAACATGCTTTTATTAGGGCGTTTTTCATACGTGTATAGAGTGTGCCTTAATTCAAAATCCATATCGTATGGTTGTTAATGTTTGACTTCAGTTTTAAGACCAGACCCCTATGTACGAATCCCGTTTAGCTTGAACGACGGATAGGCATGCAGCTTAAAAAAAAAGAGCAAGACTCAGTGTACACTAACCACGAAAGAAAACTTCAGTTTTTTACACGAATAAAACAATATTGCTTGCAACTACGCATTTAACATAACAGTTTAAGTTCAATCGCTCACGACATGTATTAAAGACAGTGTTGCAGAATTTTCGCTTTATATTATCCATCTCGTTTAAGCTAAACGAGTTTCATACAACCGGCTCCACCGCCTCCACGTTTTATGTAAAGCGTTTTAGCTGGATTAACGGTAATTGAATTCAAAGCTATATATATACACTAAATATGTGGGCCAACGTATTAAAAACGCCTGTGCTTGCGTGCATAGTATACATGTGTTTATATAGCAAGGCTGTTATTACACCAATATATACTAATATGAACTGACTAGGGAAAATTAAATATGATATTTTCAATAATTGCAATATATTAGGGTTTGATATTGTCGCGGCCGATAACAAGAGGAAATGTACGTTATAATGATGCAGTGCATGGACATGTCACTTGATTAAATAGATTTATGAAATATGATTAAAATGGCACCCATGTAACGAAATGCATGAATATACATATCATATTTCTACCACTAAATGCGATCTTATAAATAAATAATATAGATATATATATATAATATATACATATATATAATTAAATTATGATAATTTTTTAATTATAACGCACGAAACAGCGGGGTAAACGCTGAAAATGTTAATAAAAATCTCATTAGGCAGAAACAAAAGTGTGTGGCAAAAATTTAATATATGACGCCGGAAGATATACAGACAATCGTTTGTGGCTTATAAAATGTTGATATTAAAAAGATATAATTATAATATATGTACTTTTACTTGAATTTTGAGTTTCTAAAACTCATCGAACAATACGAAAAAGTACTGCGTAGAGTAGATTTGAAATATATAGAGAACGCGTTTAGAGAAAGAGTTTCAAAACAAGGCCATTTTTTACTCTCACAGTTTGAGGGCCTGTCAGTTTCACAAAAAATTCAACCCGAACGCGTTCACCCCCCTATATTCAAAGTTTATAAATGCAAGGCATGCCGGCGTAAGTATATACATGATACCATGCACAATGTTTGAATTATACACGATTTACAGAAACAAGGACCGGACCTGCATCATAATATTACATTTATTAGCGATAATATTTTGCTTACGTTTACGATATCTTGTATATGGAGGGCAGACGTGCATGACATGCAGAGTGATATAGCTTTGTACGTTTTTGTAAACATTATACAAACGTCAATTGCATGCTTAGCCTAGCTATGTCATCTTATTTTGTATTCGCAAATAATACACATAACATGTCATTTTTCTCATGCATGCAGTGACATGAGTGCGCGTCGATTTGTGTGTTATCGTGTATATAGGCACGGTTTCAATTTTCAAAGTGGAAGACTAATATTTTGTGAATTGTGGTCGTTTAAATACTCGAATTACGCACGAATAAGCAACTGCTGACTATATATATGTAACTAAAAAGATGTCCTTACTCTAAAGTCTAAACAATGAATAAACATATTTGATATGCCATTATAGGTATATGCAATACACATAGTTGATATACAGATACATTTTGAAAAACGTTGGCGTTTGTGGCTTCAAACGTCAAGCGAAAATGATTCTTTAATTGTTCTTATTATAGACATGCACAGTTCTCATCAAAAGGACAATATGTGTTTTCAAAATTAAAAAGCGCTAAAGAATTGTTTCTTTCTTTATGATTTAATTAACACGAATTTTATATATCAACTATATGTGTATATAAAACCCATCTTATTGCAACATCACGATTATATCGTTGCGTACACTACCGTAAATGGCATAATGCGTGCATGACGCAAAACTGAAGACAAAAAAGCACCTGCATGCGTTTAGGCCCAGCATGACAGTATAGCTACTGTTCTTTAGGAATGACTCGACAAAACGAGAGTGGTCTTTTGTCACAGACAATTGCATGCAAGTCCATTAACTATATATACGCGATAATGCCTCATGCATATACGAGTTAGCAAGCACCTTCCATGCATGATGAATTTGAAATATCGCAGAGAACAGACATCAGAATATTATAGAACCTTCACTAGTTTCAGCAAATATAAATCGTAATCCTCTCATGCACGAGTTAAATTACGAAAATTACGATATCTCCGCGTGTAACGGAAAATGTGGAAAGTTAGTCGTTAAGAAGATTATATTGATTTAATGATTAGAAATCTAATTGCAAACGCGCGTGATATAATGAAACAAATATGGGAAACGAAGATATTTTTCTGCTCTAACTTGATTTCTCGCTTTCTAGATTGGTTTTATTACCTGTAAAGCGTGAATGTGTTTTGCGATAAAAAAGTGTTTTTTTCACATATTTTTCCATACCACTCAGCGCATTTTTAACCATAGGTTCATATAGTCAAACCTAGTTAAAATAGCGAAAGATTTTCTTGTAAGTTATAGCTACTGTTAGTGCATGGATGAAACTTTCCAGTGTTTGGAGACGCTGCTGAAGATGCTCCGATCGACATATATAGCTAGTGTTTATCGTGTTTGTATATACCAACAACACTGACGAAGTGAAATGTATATGTTAAATAGAAATATCCTAACGATATCAGACCGCATATAATTCATGCGACAGTGATCCTTGATGGATTTGTTTTTCTTGCTTGTTTCGAGCACCTGCTCCTTTTTACTTCCTCGCTTGACAAATATACTCAATGAAAGATCACGCAATTTTGTGCTATAAATGTTTCATGTTTGACTGGCAAAAAGCGCTCTTTTCTGTTTACTCATATTTTTTTTCGCGGTATGAATGCATGACAACGACAATCATGCATAATGAAGTTATAGCTACTTCGTATTTTTCCAAATAATCCTTCTTTTCTTTTAAGACTTCATCAAAGATAACGAAAAAAACAACTTATGTTGTGATGTTGCATGCAGTGTTGTATTTATAGGCATGTACTTTATAAACCCAAGTTTTATAAAAGCTCACTTGAAAGGAGATTCATGCTTGTCCATGTGTATACTTTTATCGGCGTCAGTACATACTAAATTACATTAAAACCAAAACAACGCGTATATTATTCCTTAGCCTTCTCCGTAGGCTTAACAGACCAAACAAAGTCACAAAGCGACCGAATGCTTGAACAGGGAGGGATAAAAGCGCTTAAGCATGCACCCCCAGCTGTTAACTATATTGCCTTGTCTTGGCTTATACTGTATATAGTCTGTATATTAATCTTGGAGCACTTTCTAGTAAAAAATATTTGCGAGGTGAATTACATTGTATTCAAGTATGCATGGTCTGCAGATTCCTAATATCCTTGCAACTATATTTGAGACTTGATAAAGATCGATACTGAACTATGATGCCCCAATCATGAAAACGAGGCTCCATAGCCATCCATATTAACATAATTCCGTTGATGCAATTGCTTTTAGGATGTTAAGGTCAAATTACATTGTATTAATTCACGTTTCCCCACAGAGGCTTCCGTTCTAAGGCCGTATATATCGTCAGCAGGAGGGTAAATGAGGTTACGTGGGGAATGTACGAGACAACATGGAACTCGCGCGCCATGGACACATGTACCTATATTTTGCCACTAATCAAAATATTCATTTGAAAGTTTAAAACTGTGGTGAAGCCTCTGCGAAGCCAAACGGGTAGCCCCCTAAACCCCCCAGAGATCTGCCCCCTAAACAGCAGGAGGCGCCCCGCGCGAGGCTCAAACCATCGAACGATTAATTAGCGAAATGACCTCATTTAGAATAGTTCCATTTCACTGGCAACGCTATTTTTAACGCCTTTTTGACAACGAGGTTGGTAGACGGTAATACTATCATTGTTAATTTTGGTTGATATAGTAGCCAGGATCTGCTCGGAAAGTCAAAATTGTCGTCAATATAACTAACTTCCCGCTTCTAAAATATTGTTGCAATATCAAAAAAGGTTTGTCAGTTTTTGCAATGGGGGAAACTCATTAGAAAGAGAGTTGTATACGCGCTAAGCGTCGCGCTATATCATTTCCAGCTGAAATTCCAGCTCAAATAAGTTGCATGACACTGAAACACTAAGAGAAGACCAATATAGGTTTAAGTGAGTGAACGGCAAAAATGTTTTCATGTACACAAGAAGTTTTTAAGTACATAGCGTTATCCGACAATATAATACGAACAATGCCAGTATATGAGATGATATGAGAATCACATTGACATTTTAAAGGTGACTCCTTTTCCGTCAAGAACGGCCTTGATATTCCACAAAAATGCACTTTTACATAGAGATAGCCAAAGCTGATTGTCCAAGAGTCCTGTTATTAACATACTGTATATACCTATATATATGTCTTGTGAGTTGTGTGCTATTTTAAAACATTTTCCATTTTGATATGTAGTTACTCAAACATTCGCGAAAATTGGGGAAAATCGTGTTGATTTCCACTCCTGTTGATTTAACTGTTTATATCAACACAAAGTGTCTTATATTCTAGGTTTTGCTGGTTTTTCAACACATACATAAGCCAATAAAACGGTTGTACATCAATTCATATCGATACAAGCAGTACATGCAGGAGAAGTTTGTTTGCTTTGTTTGCTAGAAGTTTGTTTTATCGTATCCTCCAGCCTAAAAATACCTTGAGTCTAAATAATTCACCTATATATATATATATAGTCTTTTAGCGGCAATCGTTTGATCAACGTATAAATGTTAGTGCTTTAGATTATGATAAGATTACTCCTCCCAAGGTTTGAATGAAAACAATACGTCAATATATAGATAATCATGCAATGTCTGTTTTTCATGGGCTCAGTTCAGGAAAATAGTTTGTATAATCCTGGCCAGAATCTTTCAGACCTTGATTATGTTTTAAAGTATAAGATTGGGTTAAACTATATTCATATATATACGACTTAATTTTAACAATACGTCTGAATGACAATGAATATATGTGTATATATATACTATATATATATATATATATATATATATAGCTATATACGCTATACTTACTTCCATGTTAGGTAGAGTTAGCCTTACGATGCAAAATTTCGTTTACTAAATAATATAAAACAAGACTTATTATTTATAGCCTTACACAATATCTATACGAGTATATCCATGTATGTATGTAAAGGGAGTAGAAACCAGAATTTCATATCACAAATATATATGGCAAGACTATAGATATACCATGGAGCATCACATAATACATAGTTAATAAAATCACTAGGTTTGATAAAGTAGTACAGTATTAGGCAGCATATATATAAGAATGACTATCAGATAAGTGGCATTTCATTCAGAACAATAATATTAGCGAGTTTATCAGTTGCACTAAATCTACGATCTACTAAGTCCGCGTTGTAGATTTGGTGCATCTTATAAATTAATTCGCGTTTTCTATTTCTTTTTCGGACTCATGAAGTCTTAGCTTTGGAGCTCAGATCTGTTTCGCATTTTTTATTTGGATTGTTTCATCATTTTGATACAGCAGTGTAGCTACCTAATTTACTTGTTCTTTCAACTTCTTTTCGGAGCGAGTTTTCTGTTGTTTCTCTCGCCAAACTTTCAACCTCCAAAAGCATCAGATTATTTGACTAGAATAGATGTAGTATATAGTATATAATATTTATATGGGTATATAGTTATGTTAAGTTAGGTAACCGTATAAGTAGGGAGATCACATTTACCATACTGGCTGGGAAATGCTGTACGAACAAAAGAGATTTGATGTTATACTTTTTAGGGACTTTTTACCTCGTACGATGCTATTTTTTGTTTGATTCTTTTCATTTGATCATTTAAAGTTTGCAATTCATCAACACTGTTCGAATATCTCCTATCATAATGTGAGATTTAGCTTTCAGTTATCACGCCTTACCATGTTTAATCATAGACAATTCAGAAGACATCTTCTGGATTGTCTATGGTTTAATGCATAAACCGGTATCTAAAATTATCTTGTAAAATTTCTAATTTCTAAAAAAATTCGAAGCGCGATTTAGAAATTTTCCACACTTCGATTTGCAAAATCAAAGACAAAGGCAAAGGGCCATTTAACGTATATGTCCAAATAAAATGAATGATAATTTTGTTAAATTATTAAACCTATTTTTGATTTTATAAATATTACAGCCGAAAAACCTGTTACCTCAACAATAAATTATCATCTCTGGTCTCGGCATTGACATTGTCTAGTTCTTTAGAACATTTTTCTAAAATCCTACATAATTGAAAAGGGATTATATTTTAAGGCCGGTCATATTTTGCAAATGTTGTAGCAAGTAAATCCTGAGGGAAACTTCACAAACGTACTCTGAAATATCCATTGTCTCTGCCATGTGATTTTTTCTTTGCCTCTGTTCGTCTTCATTGTCGCAAACACTTTTGTCCTTTTCAATTTGGAGTAAATCAGACAGAACTTCGCGTTGACACTGACGATTTAAATGTTTTTGAATTTCGTCAGTCATCTTTCGGTTTACTTAAAAGGAGAATAGAAAAGTACAAGTAAAATATATATGTGACTGATTTCTGAATTATATTGCTTACTGATTTTTACAGAAGTCATTTTCGAAGCTATTTATGCATTACGGTAAGCAGGAATGGTTACATGCAGCATTCAATTTTAAGTGTCAAATTTATTGTCTGTGACATGAAGACAGCGAACACTAAATCCTCGCAATGCTGATGGCAATGGTCAATTTTATATCTCCAGCCCTAGCTAGGATCAATATAACGTTTAAAGCTTATAGGTGATCTTGCCATCAGTCAAATTTGAAATACACATAAGTATAAAGTCATCATACATTTTTTAAGAGCATCTTGTATGACATCATGCGGTATAGAGTTCTTTCTTTTATCTTGTTTATCTAAAATTTTTTCAGATAAAGAAATAAATAGTATATAATATACAACTATTGTCACAATATACAGTTCATCATTGAGAAATACTGACTATACCCAATTATATCCAACTATGCTTATGGCAAACCCTTCTGGAACAGGCATTTTAATGTCAGATGTGAAAATCAATGTCTGAAATCAACCTTAAAACTTCCATATACAACTTTATTATCATTCACTTCCTTTTATCATCCTACATACTCAACATTGTCATCACTGATCACTTGCCTTTATATTGACGTCAAAGTACCCTACAACTAAAGTTTCAAAAATGATGGTCTTTTATTGAAAAGCATTCTTAATAAGTAGGTTGACAAGACCAATGCTACTGACATCTCTTCTATTGGTAAAATCTAGTAGAAATATATAAATTAGGTTTATAGTTTATAGATTCTTATACATTCACCTGCTAGGTTTGGGCAATCGTGAAGAGTAAATGCTGTTCCAAAAATTTGGATTTGTTGTTGTAAGAAATTCTTATCCGTTTGAACATCTTCATTCTTCATGCAATTTTCCTCTCTCATGGGTACCACTGGCAGCTCAGGTGACGTAATGGTAAGCTGTTTGCTGTAAGAGGTTGATTCAACACTTCTGGATTCTGTGCTTGATAAAGTATTGCCCTGTATTGTTGCAGGGGTCTTCCTATGACTATGTTTTTCTTGCCTTTTCTTATTTGGTTGGACAGTCTCGTTAGTTTTGCTTGTCTTACTACTCTCTTTCTCTGTTTCACTAAGTTCACTTGATTCTTCATTTTCTTCATTTTGTTTTGTTTTGTCTTTGACATTAAAATCAATCAAGTCAGTGTGGTCTACATTATCACTATCATTACTGTGTGCAACTGCACTTTTCTTTCTTAGCTTGGGTGGTTTAAAGTTTATTGAGGCTTTTCTTCTTTTTCGTGCTGACTTTGTCTTTGGTTTTGCAGCTGCAGAGGTTCATATATATCGTATATATCACTTTTTATGGCTGGTTGACAATAAAATGCCAAAATCATGGAAGGGAACAGGGATATATAGTCATCACACTGTTCACAGTCAAATAGAGAGGTTTTTAATGGTGTCAATAACAAGTTCTCCTAATCAGATTAAACTATAGAAAACCTAGAGTGAAGAGACCTCTCCATATTTCATGGAAAATACAAAATGTATCAACAATACTTTGCTACAGCCTACAGCAACAGCTAGATTTACTAGAAATCGCAGCAAATAGAAGTTAAGTTAATAGTCATACAGAACGGAGAAAGAGAAGCTAATGCGTTTTGAATGTTATACCTGAATTAGTGTCAACGTTCTTAATATTTGGCGTAACTTCCATAAGAGATCCTGGAGTAAAATTACTGACTTTTCTGTATAATGTATCAAAATTCAAAATGGCGCCAAAAAACCGCGATTAAATTCTACATAGTTGTAACGTTCCAACTTCCGGTGAAAACGTCTTTCGTTATATATCAGTTGGCTTGGTTTACTATTTTTTATCCTATTTCATGATTTTAATTTTTTGCAATATCAAATAAAAGTCTTCATTATTTTTAATGTCAAAACAGTTTTTCAAGAGTTTCAATTCTAAGGAAATTTGCGTTGTTTGACATGTTTGTGGCGTACACTGCAAGCCTGCAACTAAAAGGTTGTCAACAGAAAAAATGAAATTGAAAGCTGTCCGAATCAAGCTAAGAATGAAGAATAAATGTAGGTGTATGGTTTATTTTTACTATATCAGCAGTAAACACCAAGACTGAATATGGGAAAATTTGCCCAGGCTGCATAAGGTCTGTGTTAATTCAGCCTAATTAAATTAATTTAAGCTGCATGGGGCTGGAGGGTCCTCAAATGATTATGAATGAAATGATTCATTATGATGAAGGTAGATATGGTACGATAGGTGAAAAGGGAGTAAACTGCAGCCATGTAGGGTGCACCTTTCCAAGATTTTTGCCCTGGCCGGGCCCTCAAAGTTTCAGACTTCCATCATGCATGGACAACTGGATCGAAGTACTCCGAAGTCCGAACCACATTACCAATTGCAATCCATATGTAACTATATATTGATACTTATGTGTGACTCAATCTCTAATTTTAGCAAGGGTATATTTGACATTACAAATTCTTACAGCAAGTGTGGATAAGGCTTAATTTCTACCTTACACTCTTAATATTTCTTGAAGGGGTAATTTGAATGATTCTAATCAACAAATCAAATGGAGTTGTTCAAACCTACATGGATGTTCCGATCTCCCCCAGAAAATGTGAAAATATTGCAAATGTGCAATTCTCCTCAAAATTGTCTTTTTGGAATGGCTTGCACCAAAGCTCATTCCCCTCAGGAGCTCCAGGAATGGTCAATCCGCATTTCATATGAAATGCATGAAAACAAAAGATCCATGATGGAGAGAAAATGTCTATCACAAATCGAGTCAATCCGAAACATAATAAATGAAAGTAGCAGACTTGGTTTGCCACCAAAAAATGTTGTAAGGAAATAAAAATAATGCAATAATATAATATCTTCATTATATTGTAATTCTCAATTAATATGACCCTAATCAAACTAACATCCATGCACCCTAGCCCTGTAACTGGAAACCCTAATATGCTGTACTTTTACTCAAAATTAGTTGACTGAAGTGTCTGGTGGTCAAAGTGTCTTATGCAAACAGAACTTGTTCGTTACACATCTTGATAAGAACAAGGAGATTTTCTGGGAGTTCATTGTGAAAACGAACTATAATAATAAGGTAAGTTCTTATACGTAAAATGCAATTTAATCAGTATCAAATATGCTTGTATACTAGCTGACCAATGAATTATGTTTGTTTCAGAATCACAACAGTTCAACCCAAGGCTTACAAAATGTGTTTTTTCTTGAAAATGATTGTCGCGAATTCTCCTTCAGTAGCCTTACTAATGGCAACGAAGATGAGCCCTTAAAAATCCATGGTAGCGAGTTTTCCCTTGCAAAGTTCTACCCTTCTTCCGTGATGTTTGCCAAGATATGTGTGAAGTTCCGTTCGCCGTCGTACGGTCATTTTAATGTCACCATTATTTTTGATTTCGGTTTTGCTCCGAGAATTGTTCGCCATGTCGGTGTTGTTGTAGCCCCTGAGAAACACCTTTTTGAGAAGTTGTCCTCAACACCAATCACTACATCGGATGAAAAACACAATGAATTGACGTGGATGCAGAAATATAAACTAATATCATTTGATGACAGTTCCCCAGGTACGTAATTAGAGGAAAGACTATAACGAAAGACTAAAGTCTAAACCTTTTTGAGCATTTTTATTTTCGCCTGATAAAGTTTGTCAGCAGCGAGAAATTAATTACAAAGAAGTTATTAAAAAAGTTATTCAGAAAAACTGTTGTATTGACTATTGTGTAGATGATAGTGTTACGCCTGGCACTGAAGAATACCCTCTACCAGCAAACCTGAAATACGGTGTAGAATATGGCGCGTTTGAATACATGGACGTTAATTTAACACCTGAAAATTTTCGCGATCGTCTTCATAATTTGCTGTTTGTTGAAGAATACGAAAGGCGAAAAAGAATGTCAAGGTATTGACTGCGGAGCTGTGTAATGAAAATACTTATAAAGAACAGACGAAGTCCAAGTATTGCTGGGTTCTCATGCATGAGCTTTTTCATAGTGAATTGGGTCGGGTCAGAGTTGTTGTAGATCGTTTCGACGCTTACGAGTGAGCGAATGATAATGATTTTGTTATAACAATTTTATAATTATTTTATTTTCAGGTTGAATGTCCATTGTCACGATATATTCACGCTATTTCGCAAGCGCACAAAACTTCCATCACTGAGAACCGTTGATGCCCAGAAAGCCGTATTTATTCCCATGTCTGAAGAAACGTTGGAAGAAGTTGGTATTCTTGTGACCCGAGGATCCAAAGCTTTGATACGGTTACGACAGTTTATGTATGGTGCTGACGACTCCGAAGATTTTGTCGTTCACGAGGCTCTAGTTATCAACATTTTATGTGGAGAAATTATTCTTGAGATCAGTTCAAAAACGCTAACTCTACTCAAGTCTATGTCTTCACCAGTTCCAGTTGACATTTGCTTCCGATTTGTCAACACATTTCTCTGTATGCATTCTGCAATTGACCGGGTCAATCTTGATCTAATCTTTTATCAACCGTTGTCCAGACTTGTTAATGAGACCAACCGTAAACCTTTGCTGCTACGTCATTCGCAATTGAGTCCTACACAAGCTACCGCTCTTTCAGGGATTATTAACAGTTCACGAGGTAGGAAATTTTATATGATATATACAATATGGTATGGTATGGTATGGTATGGTGTGGTATGGTGTGGTGTGGTGTGGTGTGGTGTGGTGTGGACTGTGGTGTGGTGTGGACTGTGGTGTGGTGTGGACTGTGGTGTGGTGGGGACTGTGGTGTGGTGTGGTCTGGTGTGGTGTGGTGTGGTGTCCTGTCGTATCGTATGGTATATACGAGTGGTTATGGTCAAATGAACTTTTGGCTCATAATTTGTATGATACCGTGGTTTCAAAAGCTGACAGGCATATCCCGCATATGTCACTGATATCTGTATCAAAGAAGATATTCTAAATAAGTTAAGTTAATATATTTTACGTATTTAAGGTCCTCCAGTGTTACTCCTCGGACCATTTGGTACTGGAAAAACGCAAACTGTTGCAGAAGCTGTAAAAATCCTAATATCGGAGCAGTCGCAAAAATGTCGTATTTTGATTTGCACGCATTCCAACAGCGCTGCTGACCATTATATTGAAGATTATCTACATCCTCTTTTTACGAAGGACGAAAGTAAGTATTTCATGTAACATGAATTCCTGCGGTAGCACACTGTGGTTGCCTGAACTGTTAGCTGCAGGTATTTATCACTGAAAGCAGTATTTTCTAAATTCTATTGCTTGAGTAAGGAGTACGAGTCATTTGTAGGATACGTCGATCCTGTCATATAGACGACACTAGGAATTAAAGTTTTCAACGCTATTTTCACGCTTATTTCGCAGTAAATATTAGGATTTAAAGTCTTATCATCGGTTTTCCATTGTAGATACATTGTGTGAGAAACCTTTGAGACTGTACTGGGAGCACCGCTTGGCAACTAGCATCAGTGATACAATGTTGCCATATTGTATCATGGATCTTAATACTGGTACGTTCAGAAATCCAACTCTTGAAGAACTTGCGCGAAAGACTATTGTTGTTACGACATTGGTTACCGCTGACCTGCTTATCAAATGCGGTGTTAAACCTGGATTTTTTACTCATATACTTATTGACGAGGCAGCGCAAGCGATGGAAGTGGAAACGCTTATCCCTCTCAGTCTGGCGACAAAAGAGACAAAAGTTGTATTGGCCGGAGATCACTTACAGGTTAGTAAACGTGTACTCGTCAGTCTCATCATTTTCCACCACATACAGCATTTTTTATCTAAGAAGCTACAGCATATGGTAGTGATATTTCTAATTTCATTGGATCGTAACCCAAAAAATTCACTGCCACTCCTAGTGTAATCCGGACTCCTTTTTTATGCTGACTTTGGGCCAAGTATTCATTAGACTGTGGTCCAGCTAAACGTGGCCAACACGGGAAACTGTTGCAGTTGGACCACACCATGACCGTATTTAGGACTATACTCGACATGATGTACTTAAGGAGTGCTGTCTTTTCTAAACATTGTATGCGTAAACTATTGGCATTGCATATTCCATAATCATTGTCGTGCTGTGCATTTTATGCTAATTTCCCAGATCCCTTTATACTCTTAAATCCTCCAGCATAGGAAACTTAGGTGGTATTAACAAATACTCTTTTTGTATCTAGTTAAGTCCACCGGTATTTTCATCAATTGGCCGCAAGCTGCAGTTAGATAAGTCACTACTAGTACGTCTCTATGAAGCCTATCCTGCAAACTCTCCACGCAAGATACTGTTACTAGAAAACTTCCGTTCCTATCCGGAGCTCGTGAATATCCCGTCCAAACTATTCTACGAAGGATCTTTGATTTCCAAGAAACAGTTACCTGGTGATTTACAGTATCCAGTCAAGCTCTATGGTGTGTATGGTTTAGAAGAGAAAACAAGAGATAGTCCATCATATGTCAATATGGCAGAGGTAGCCGAGATAACGGAACGAGTCGAAGAAATGGTTAATACGTGGCCCAAACAGCATTTTGGAGAGTTAAAGCTGGAGAAAACGTGCGTGCTAAGCGCGCATTACGGCCAGGTAATTTTTACGTTATTTAACAGTAACATATTTATTGCTGTAAAGGCAAGTGTCAAAGCAAGACCGTTGCGACTAGCATCACCGTTTCTCTATAACTTTTAATGCATTATAGAGAAAAATTGCGGGTTTTTATTTGATCAAGGTATGTCCCGGGTTAGCAAGCCTTTAATGGAAACTTTAATGTCATGCGTGTTCACTATTTTCTAGTTCACCTACGTCGGAGCATCTTAATTTTCAGTGTAAAGATTATTCAACTTAGTTAGGTGCATAATTCAAACCAGGTTTTCAAACTGAAACGTATATAGGCCAGCACGCAATATAATGAACCTATAGTTCTGGTCAATTTACCATAAGGTATCAATGTATTGTAGTAATATATTTTTGTGTGTGTAGATAAGACAAGTGCGTCGAGAGTTACGCTTGAATGGCCTTCACAATGTCCGTGTTGAGAATATAAATAACGTGCAAGGTTGGTCTGTCTTTATTGTTCTGTTCTACTTTTAGAGCTACGTGCACACGTTAACGATGATAATTAGAACGTAAGACGGTGCAAACAATATAAATTTATTACAGAAGTGGGGCTAATCCAATATACAGACCTTTATAAAAATCGGATACAATATCATTACCTGGATACCCATAATTGTGAAACTCTGTGGTTGCTCATAATATATGTTTTTATCTTGGTTTAGGTTTGGAATTTGACGTTCTTTTTCTATCAACTGTCCGAACATCTCGCGTGTTAAGTCCAGGTCAACACGAAGGAAAAGATTTGGGCCTCCTGTCTAATCCAAAGCTACTGAATACAGCGATTACGAGGGCGAAATTCTGTTTGGTGGTTATCGGTGATCCGAAAGCTCTTTGTTCTGTCGGTGACTGTAGAGTTTGTTGGAAGACGATTCTGTCGCTGTGTAGTGAGAACGGTACTTTTCACTACCGCCTTCCTCTTACACAAGTGCTGAATTCTATACGCGAAGAACAGACCCAGATGCTACAACCTGAGTTCAACAATAGCCTACAGCAGTACCAGCCGCGACAGTATCACCATGTTACACCACCAATTCCCAATAGGTTTCCTTTCTTTCCAGAACAGATGGGTGGTATAAGACAAGTACACCCACTGAATATGTTGCCTGTAAACCCTCTTAATATGTCACCCAATCCACCTACTGCCCTATCGACTGCACCACGTTCCTATCCTAGTATACCACAATATACCCCGTATCCTAGAGTCTTATATAACAATGTTTACGATCAAAGTCCAGTGGGGTTTCATCAACCAGCGCCCCAAACACCTACATTTGTTACGCCACCAAATTACCCATCCCAAACCTATGTTCCTGAAGTCGCTTACAATCATGTTGGCGGTAATCGTGCAACACTCAACTTTGGGAGTATTTACTCTCAGCATGACGTGGGGTTTTCTACAGGGAGACCACATGCTAATCCATTTCAGATCGGTTTACTTAACAACAGTACGTACGCAACAAATCTCCAAGCCCAAACTGGATTTATTGTACAGTCAACATCATCTTCTCCAGCACCACGACCTAGAAGCGATACTAAGCATCAAAGCAATGCTTCGTGGCAGGACAGATCTTATAACGCACCTAGTCACGACGAACTGTCTACATTGACGAACGAGTTGGTTGTAAAGCTCGACCCTTCAACATCCAATATCGATGGCTCACATCCAGACATTAAGAGTGCCAAGAATGAATTCAGTAACCCCGCTACAATTCGTGAAGAGTCCTCTTTATCCGAGATATCTGTACAAAGAGCCCACGAAATCTCCCCAACTAGAACGCTAGAAGAATCATCCATCGTGTCATTGTGCCAAAATATACGGAAAAATGTTGTTGCGTCATTGCGGCATATCACAGAATGTGAAGAAGCAATGAACATGTTCATCGAAGATCCCTCAGATGATGCATCAGTTGAAATAAGAGAAAACCTTAAAGCGCAGCTTGCCTTGGTTCGTCATGAGAAATCCTTATTAGAGCAACAACAGACGCTGAATAGAACTCTAGCGAAAAACGTTCATTCTTTGCAAGTGAATGCTGTGAAAAATCAAGTACATCGCGATCCTTCCCTGAGTCTCTCCCCAAACCCTCGCTTGACTCACGTCTACAAGATTGACCTCGACAGTGATCACGAAGTTCAAGAATGGTACCGACTACGACGACAAGATCCAATCGTGAATGATTACATTAAGTCCTTCGAAATGCTTTTGGAACGTGCACGAACACGAGGTCATCCAGGTGATAAAACTACGGAATCTTGTGAAATTACCGCTGTTGATAATTCTGACTTGATGAACAGTTTACGAGGCTGGGTTCTGCAACCTCAAAGCGTTTTCTATCCTTCTGAAGATCTACTATACGAAACCTACTTGGGTATAGAAGAAGTGAACAGAAAGCTGGAGAATGGAGAACTTGTTTGTTGTGCCCTCTCCATGGACAAATCTTCATCTGGGAAGTCAGCGTCATGTGTGGTCGATGATCCAATGGAGAAAAATATTGTTATTCCTGACAGAAAGAGCATGAACAGAGCTTTTAATACAGATCTTGTTGCTGTGGAGATTACACATGATCCAGAAGGACAAAATATAAAAGAAGGGAAGGTGGTCGCTATAATCCAAGAAAGGCATCATCGACGAGTAATATGCCGCTTAGCCTCTCCAGAATCAACACTTATGATTCCATTGAACAATACCAACCCAAAATTCTCGATATTGCAAAGTGATAATCATGTCGGACAGACAGGTGTTGCTGTATTTGATATACACGGAGATCAAATTCGCTTTCATAATTTTGTTTCAGATGTTGAAGATAAACTTTTTCTTGTTCAGTTTTTGAAATGGGACGTTTCATACCGTTATCCTCTGGGTTTTGTAGCGAAGTGCTTTGAGGACTACAATGATATGGACAAATTGATTCCGATCCTTTGTTTTGATTACGGAATCCAGCAGGAATTTCCTGCCGCAGTTATTAAAGAAATTGAGTTGCGTTTCCCCGAGAGTTGGCAGCTCCCTAAGGAAGAGCTGGAATCCAGATGCCGGTATGAAGATGCTTTTACGATTGATTCCGAAGGAGCTGAAGAGCTTGATGACGCAATCAGTGTCCGCCCTGTAAAGTATGGGATCTATTCCATAACAGTCCATGTTACTGATGTCTCGTATTTCGTAGTCAAAGGTTCCTTGATTGACAGAATAGCTCAAGAAAGAGCAACCTCTGTATATTTACCATCAAACATAACGCTCACATTATTACCAAAGCGATTAAGTCACATATGTAGTCTGCTGCCAGGTAAAGAAAGATTGGCCGTCTCAATTGAATTTGTTATTGATTTAAGTGGAAACATACTTCGTTCTCCGATCTTTCGTCGAAGTGTTGTGGTATCACAACGACAGCTGAGCTTTGACGATGTAGATGGCTTCTTATCTGGAGAAAAATCATCGACCCAAATATCATCGCCTGTGTTACGTTCACTACAAATCCTTCACTGTTTATCACGTGAATTGTGGGCACGCAGGGTGCGTGGTGGCTCATTTCAGGCATGCGCAGAAGCACATTTGCAACCTCCTTCGCGCAGGATTGTGGAAGAATTGATGATTATCGCCAACATGGCCGTAGCCAACAAACTATCCAACCTTCCAGATTCGCATGTTGCTCCACTCCGAGTACAGCAATCGCCCAAGTACCATGTACTTCAAGCACTTGTCTCCTGGGCGGCTGAGAATGGGGTTAATTTAAATGAAACGTGGCTCACCCAATGGTTGACCGGTAAGTATAATGGATAGTCCTCTCCAACAAATGTGGTACTATGGACCCCATGCCTAAAGATAGCTTCCCTTCTCCGGACGGCCTTTGAATGAGTTTCCATTTTTCTCACGGGCTATGAACGAGGAAGGTTGTTCTACACTTCTTCCTCACTGCATGTCCATTATCCGGAAAGAAAAATTGAAACATTCATTCAATAAAGTTGCCCGAGTAAAATACACTTTCCCAATTGATTGAAAATTTTAAACTGGATTCTTTGTGCGTGAAGAACAGAAATGCATGCTAGAAAATCGAGGCCTGCAACCTAGTTAACCTGAACTTGCGACTGATTTACCCCATCAGATAACCCCATCAGTGAAGATAACACAGGCTATACTTTTAAAACAACTTGGTAATTTTTTTAGCTATCGTAAAAGTAATCGCTGGTGATTTTTCTCTCATAAATTGCAGTCCCTCATAAATTGTCCTTAAAAACGTGTCGAATTCATCGTGACGTACGTCATCATATATCTTTCAGGTTATCAGGAGCAAGAATCATCGCACTCATCATCAGTGTGTGTTAATCTGAAGATTTGGCAGCACATTTGTCAAGAAATCAAGATAGGCAACATGGCGGATCTTACGGAAGAAATATTATCGCAGCACAAGAAAACTCCAATCACACCTCGACTTCAGCGTAATCTTCCTAGAAGTAAATATGTTTCCTCTAATCAATATTCATCTACAGAACGGCGTCATTTTTCTCTCAATGCTGATTGCTATACGCATTTTACATCACCTATACGAAGATACTTGGACATCGTTGTTCATCGCGTCCTATTTTCTGAGGCAACAGCACCACTTTATGACGACGACGAGATGGAGGTAAAGTATAAGGCTGTTGTATATTGTGCTAGAAGGGACTAAGGTTTGGGTAAGTATAATGCACAGTCCGATATTGCACGCTCTACATTTAGAATTGCTATATTTCTTAGAATACAGCGAACCATCGCTGTATTGATTAGGCAACTATGAATCAAGTGGCCGCCAAATGTTGCAGAACGGATATGAATTGCAGCGAATAGGACATGAATATTTACTATTAAAGGGAATTCCATTGATTAACTATAAATTTAGAACTAAAAATGAGCTCTTGCTACAATTGAAAATACTTCCACAGGTTTTATTCAAATTTAGTGTAACAAAGGAAGTGCCCTCCTAAAGATCCATGTAAAGAGCTTAGTTACTATTGAAGGCAATTGTCTTATAAATCCATGTTGAGAATAGCCTATTTTCTTTAATATATTATCAGATTTTAAAATGAATTAAGTTGTTTTGAACTTCTGTATCGACTTTATAGGAGCTGTGCGGGATCCTGAACTTACGTTGCGGTGTTACAGCTGCATTCTCCAAGCATTGTACGGCAGTTTTGGAGGCGAAGTCGTTGCAAAGCACAGATGGATGGAGAACAATGGAAATTGATTCAGTTGAATCTGAATGCATGATGCTCAAGAATGTTGACAATAGTAAGGCTTCGTCGCTTCACAAGCTAAAAATGAGTGATATGGGGGCATCCATGTCTCAAGATGAAGCAAAGAAATTCGTTGCTTATTGGAGATTTCACGATTTGGATGTTAGTGGTTCTAAACAACACAGTCGTCCTCAAACACCATCTAAAGCTCCACAACATCCCTCTTCTTCCCCAGAGTTAGGAGGTAAATAAAAAACGTGTTATTACCGGTTTGGCTTGATATTGAAAATCGTCAAAAAAAACTACCTATATTTACGTTGCTTGATACTGGTACAAGACAGACATAACAACCGTTACTTTAAAGCGAAGCTTTATTTTTTAACACACCGTATCTTAATGAAAATTTCCACAGGACATGTAAATGAATCGCCGCTTTTCAGAGGAAACTTCAGTCTTCAACATCCTTTGGCGCCATCTTTCCAGCGTGAAAGATCCGCCTCTTTGGGTCAAGAATTTGAAACAAGTCATATGGTTGAAATTCCGGAAGAATTGTGGTGTGAACTGCTAAACTCTACCAAGAAGGAAGATGCCTCCGCTATAGTTAAATCTATGGATAACATCAACAAGCACGCTGTTGTTAGCAAAAAGCCAAGTTCAACTTACGACGGGTCGTCAATGTCCATAGATACTTCAGGTTTTAATGTTTTAACTTGCTCGTTCCAAGCAGGAGAAAAGCTGCAAGTTTTGTTCACTTGTTCCTCGGTCAATGGTCTTCCACAGCTGCTACTTCAAGCAATAAATGTGATACCTGAGAAAATATGTTGCATTCTGCATCATAGGCAACCTGTGGAATGTTTTTGTGATAGGGTCGAAATTCCTGCGCGAGAAAAGTACGTATGTGGGTTAAAACAAATTAGGACGTTATGAAGATAAAATCATGACAATACTCCCTACTTCTCAAACTTTGTAATTGGGATACAAATTAGCACACTTAGCAACCTTAGTTACTAAATATGTATACGCCCTGTTACTGTTTATTACCCTACGTCTGGGAGGACTAATTCTTATGAAACAAATATTTCTTAGAACGCCATGGTTGTCGTATACAACTATGTATGCATTCTCAAAATATATTGCGATGATTCAACTTCTCGTTTCTTTGAATTTATATTTTCAGATATTCTTCGTCAAAAGAGTACCAGCAAATTAATATTCCATTACTTAAGATGGAGTCTGCTGAGAAAAGTGTTCGAGCAAAATTGCCTTCTCTGCATATTAGAAATGTGGTAATAAAATGGACAAAAGATGCCTCTAACGGTAATATATATCTATTCATGGTTGAAATGTTTCTAACATTCAGGAATTATTAGAGCTATGGTTTAAACTTAATATAATGGAATATGTTGTTTTGTAATAAAAAAACTCACGAATCTTGCGGTAAGGGACCCACCCTCTATTATAAAATGTATACAGGTACAAGTAAAGCCTTACTTGACGATGCTTATTTTTTATTTTGCACTAGCCATTCATGGTGAATTGAACATACGAACTGATAGATTCTTACCGTCAGCAGTTCATAAAGATGACTTCGTATGTGTTTATTTCATTTCATCTCATGTTATTCACCATGGCTGCGTTGAAGATGTGCCGATACCTCTAGAGGAGTCCGTTTATATACGGTTGGTATTAAACTCGGGCTGCACTACTGAACCTTTAGGAGCAGCTAATGTTGAAGTTATCCCACAATGCATTAATTTCCGACGTATGATATATGCAGTAAGATCTCTTCCTAATGGAACAGAGGATGTTTGCTCGTTGTTTTTAAAGCGATTTTTGCGATCATCCATAAAACAAAGCAGATCAAAGAATGCTCATACCTCATCTTTTACTTTGGATTCAAGTCAAAGAAAGGCAATGGACGGAGCTACTCATTCTTCATTTACTATTATTGAGGGACTCTCAGGTTAGCTTGACTTCTTCGTATCAATAGTTCTCTTTTATATATATTTGTAATAGGGTTTGACATCTGTACATTTTACGACATAATAAAAAAAGCCTAATTTCAATGCAATTAATGAAAGATCTTGTTATGCCCGTTGTCTAAAAATCCCCCTATTCAATATGGTCAATTCATGACGTCATTTTTGAATTAATTTAAGAAAGAGATCCCAATGTAAGCAATTCTTCAATTCATTCTCAGGCACTGGTAAAACCTACACAGCTGCTGCTATCGCAGAGCAGTTCTTTTTGGAAAATTCCTCCCAAAAGTCAACAACTAATGTGTTATTGTGCTGTCCAACTAATCAAGCAGTCAATGATGCTGAAAGTTTGTATTTGCAAATTATTGTTATATCATATTATTCATAGCGACTTTCCTATACATCTTCTACCGTGAATATCTGTACTCGCAGCGTCCATTTTGTATTCTATTCTGTGCTAATCTGAAATTTGCTGACACGTCAGATAGGAAAGATCGGTAGACTGTTTTTATTGTCTATCCTGTCAAGCAAGGTAGTATTTATTCGAGTTTTATTCTGAACATGGTAATATTTAAAGGAATACATCGCTTCGTTTCATTCCGGATTCAGTTCGTAGCTTCCTGATTCCGGATCTCAACTCGTGAATACCGGGTCACAGTTTGTGCATTCCGAATCTTGCCACATCCCAGACTTCTTCACACAGATCGATACTTTTCTAAAATGTTTTTTTACGTTATAGATATCCTTTCTCGAGTCCCTACAGTTCGTATTCTTCGTTTGTATGAACGTGAAATAGAAATCCAGTCTTTTCCAGAATTGATCGCTGTGTACGGTTGCTTTATGAGATCTTCAGAAACACAAACCATATTACAAGATTCAGCTTTGCATTTTAAAATCCGAAGCAGCTCCAATCCTTTTCACAGGAAGATACAGAAGTATGCTAATAAACTGCAGATGTTAACAGAATACAAAAGAGGGGATATGATGCAATTACGAAGAGTTATTGAAGAATACAAGAAGGTTATTGATATGGCTGAGGAGTACGAACTCACTGAACATGGCGTGAATATCATATTATGTACCTGTAATGAAGCAGGAAGCTCACGAATGGAGAATCATGCTAGGGTGAAGCAATGTATAATAGATGAAAGCCATCATTCCCCTGAAGCAGAGAGTTTGTCAATGTTTCAAACACTCAATGCACGTTGTGAGCGAATTGTTCTTCTTGGAGACACCACGGTGAAAAATTTGCCAATCATCGAAAATAAACTTGCAAGACGTTTTGGTCTCAACAAGTCCGTATTTTCCTCACTAAGAAATGGAAAAGGAAAGAATGGATTACCGAGACATGTTTTAGACACACAGCATAGAATGCTTGGGATATAAGTTGTGGTTTTTGTTAGATTATGTTAATAAATTATGTTGGGAAGCCCGTTTCTGGGACCCCTTCTATAATATGGGAACCGCTTTCACCTTCATCATTTGGGGGATTTTTTATCGATCCCGCTCCCCGAGCCCTATATTCCCTCCATAATTTGTCGATAGTCAATCAACCAATCTATGCGCAGAATATGTAATATCTTCTGATAAAATTGTACAGAAATGATAAGTAGGATCGTTGCAAGTTGAGCGGGATTATGGCGGGGTCAAGTGTGGGATTCATTACCTCAGGAGAGACCAAATTTTTTTGGTGTGCCCGTGCTTTCTTATACTGCTATACCCTTCCCCGCAAAGACTTTTGTGGAGACATTGGAATACTCATTTTAGTACGGAGGAGATGCATCCAATGAATCGTTCTTGGTGATTACTGATTACTTACGCTGTTAACACTAAACAGGCATACTCAGTTCTCCAGGGCGGTATTTCGGGGACAGGCTTTGGGGCCGGGCGCTAGTCCTGCCCCGTCCTGTGGCCAATTGTAACTATATATCCAGCTTTCGCACAACCGGTGTCCCTGAAGACAAAATCCTCGTAAGGGGAACCGCGGCACGTAAAAAAATCAATTGGCACCTGATTGTCTGTCATTCGAAATATTTTCAGAATATTGGAGCGATGATTTATGAACCAGCATATAAGGAGGTCTTTTGTTTATTGGCGTTTTTGATTGGCTAAGACCAATTTGTTTATTCGATAACTACACGCGGGTCAAAGGCCTGGTCTGGTTTAATAAGTGGAATACTGTAATTCTAACACAAGTTAGAAGTTTCTGTGGTATCTTTTTTATGAAATATGCAAACTTTTATCCCGGGGAAATTTTGTTTCAAGTAATCGATGTAATATTGTGGAATAGGAGTTATAAAGCCGATTTTCAAAAGGTGAGCACTGAATTAATAATGATTTTGACCTTCAGTCGCTTTGCAATTTAATATAACAGATTCACACAATTCAAACACTATATTTATGTATATGTCAAAATTTGACGATAAAATCAGATTAACCTGTTGCTAATCTGTTATCAGCTTTCTAAATATGTCGAAATCGAATGTCATGTAAAATGACATTATAGGCAAGGCCATATGGTGTAACTGCACTGACTGATACAATTTTCAGGCTATTTATTAAAAAATGCTCAGACTTGGGAGCTCAAATTTTTTTTATTGGTTACATATAACTAATTTGAAGAACGAAGGAAGAACGAAAGATTGTTGTAGTTGAGATAGTTTGGAGGCAGCAGCATGGCTGTAATAGCAATGACTGGTAATATATTAAAATTCAGTAGCTCCTTCAAATATTCTTAATTGCTGTGATCAAGAAAGCTGTCTGTTAGACTGTTACATGCTCAAATATCAGTATCTCTTGACCAGTCAACTGGAGCCAACCAGGAAAATTAACAAAAATCTTGTCATTTCCTAATACTGTAAGTGCATCTGTTATCATTCAGTCTATCTGTATATTTCTATATTATAAAGGGTTGAACAAATAAAGTGAAACTGGATGTAAAAAGCCCAATGTTGCGACTTTGTGTCACTGGAAGTGGTGGAGTTGGCAAAAGTTCATTAACTATCCGATATTTAAGAGATGAATTCACAGAGGTAATTGCTGATTGATACACTAGTTATAATTTAGAGTAAGGCATATGGCACTGACATTTGTTGGCAAAAGTTTACCTTGCCAGCAGAATTTGTCAGTTTTTTCCTAAAAGTTTGTTAACAATACTCTTTTCACTGTAGTTAAGTTTACCATGCTCTTGATAAACATTCATTGCATTCAAATCATCTCCACAACTGAAGATCAATTCTTCCTATAGTAAAATTTTGTTCAGTTAATCAAATATATTAGCTCAACTCATTTAAGATCCACCCTCTAATTAACAATTTAGTTTGGTATTGGACAAATATATTTATTACCTTGGTCATGTTCATATGAATAGATCACAAATTATAAATGTTCTAGAATTTCAAAAAATTGACTTGAAATTGAAATAATCACCCACCACCCTTTGTCAGATGGATTACAGCCACCTCCTATATACATACACCTATGATTAAGACACGAGGCTTTGTGCACCAAGCCTGATCTTTATGCATTATCATTCTCTTAGAATTCTGTATGTTGTTCAACTAGTTATTATTATAGTTATTATATTTTATATTTGTATATCTTTCTTTATATTTTAGTATTATGATCCCACACTTGGTAAGTACCCAAAATTATTTTATACTAATTATTTAATCTACATGCATGAATTTTAGTGTTGGTATTATAAAAATATATCCTTGTATCATATTAAAAAATCCTTTTATAATGCTTTCATATATTTCCATTGATTTAGTATGATATATTAGAATTTCCCAATTGCCATTTTAACAGTTTTTCCTCTTTCACTTTTAGAGGAAACATATCAGAAAGAGGTTGGTAACTACTGCTAGAATGGTTATTTTAGCTAACAAGTATATATACAAGTTTTGTTTGTTGTATATATGGCTAGTTAAATTTCAGCTAACCTATAGCTGTTAAAAATTAATACTGATGTATCTGAAATATGTTATTTTGTTAATTCATTTGTTATTTTCCCAAAATTCCAGTAATTAAGTTTTTCAGATATTGTTTATATATGGCAACACTGTTTGAAAATGAATGCACCATATTCAAACTGACATAATCAAATTTGACATAATAACTGCCTAAAATAGGCAAAAATTAGCTACTCTTTGTTTGATGAAGGCCGTTAGGTCGAGACATTGAGATTTTTTTCTACAACGGCTGTTATACCACATTTAGTGAAGTAATGTTGATGGTTTGAAGTTGCTTCCATACTGCCTCTTTGTTATATTGAAACAAATATTTAAACTGATTCAGCTGTGAAAATGTATACTTATTCAGTAGGGTATTCACTCTCAATTTCTGCTCTTATTTGGTAAATTTTCTTGTGAAAATACATTTCTTCTAAAAGTATCTAATAGATGCATATTGTTTAATTCTGGGGTCTGTTTCATACGCTGTATTGTAAGTGAATGAGTTCACATTGCAAACAGTAGACCAGTTGAGGGAGGTTTTTTCAGTATATGCTTCCTTAGTGTGAATATTTTTATTATCACTAACTCTCAAGATAATGTTGTCCTCTCAAGATAATGTTGTCATCTTGCATTTTATACCATATGTAAAGGAAGTTCGAACATCGACTGTGCACGATATAGCCTTATAGGAAGATAGTTATGTTCATGATTTTATACTATATTATACTTAGTGCATGTCGTAGGCGTATCAATTGTCAAAAAACGACAAAATGCAACCGTAGCTTAGATGCAAATCTTTTTCTAGCTGTTGCAGTATGTCAATGACGATATTCGGATAAATGCCAGTATTCTTCAAATATCGATATTATGGTATTGGTTTTTTCGATGATTTTTTCAAATGATTATTTAACGCCTTTAACGTCATTTCAATCTTCTCACTATCTAAAATATTCTTGTTTTGAAGAGGCTTTTACTTCAGTATGACTAAATTTAGTTAATTTTCTTTTGATGATGCTTAATAAGCTTTGAATTAGTTGATGTTTTTGTTTAGTTTACGTGTTCTGCTGCACGAGTCTTTAATTGCCCAGCAAAGCCGTTCAAGTGCTAAACTTACAGCGGACGCAAATAAAACCAGGCTCGGCAAATATTTTTGGCACACACCCTAACAAAAATTACCCTTGGAGTAATCGAGATAAAATCATTCTTAGTTAATATTCGTTCTGTTGAACTGGTCAAACACTCAGATATTCTGTTGTATTCACTACATTTCCTGTTCATTTTACATATTGCGCAACACGAACAGAATATTGCCTACAGGCATTTCGTCCGATTTCCCAACTGCATTTATTCCTACAACTGATCATTTGCACGACTGAGTTTATAAAAAAAACTCGACTTTCCTCACCATTTATACAGAGCGGCGATTACAAACTTTATAGAGCGGTATGGTTTAGGTGTACTTCTGAATTGAGATACTGTATACCATCACAAAATTACTTTGATTTAACAGGCTTGTGGTAGACTCGTTTTATTTGCTATGGTCGATGCCTATATGGCTTTGTACTGTTATTTTTAACCTGCAGATAGTGACTGAAAATAGCATAAATGCCAGTGAACATTCCGTTCTGCATCCATAACTGACTTTGACTTGCATCAGCATCACCGCATGCCAACAATGTGTTATTTTCGTCAGGGCAACGTTTACTATGACACATGCATGCACTGTTGTGACAGATATGCATTAGTGACGTATTTTACTGTTTGCATTAAGTAAAGCTTTTTGCCGTTCTTTGTGAATAAAATGCCGATATCAACCAAATATGCGGGGCGGGAAGAATGGTACAATATCAATATAGAACACAAGGTCAATTTTATATTTTACGGTGTTAATCGTAGTTCTAAGACTAACCCTAATCTTAACCAGAATCTCTTACGTAATTTCGGAAGAAATAATGTAGCCGCCTGTATATATTACAGCGGTAATTTTTTCAATATATCGATAAATCACACAGTTCTTTAGAAAGGGCGAATATTTAAACCCCTATGGGCAGAAAGGCGTACAGTAGATTGGAAGTAGTTTCCAGTACCCTGCCCTCGTATTTATCGGCTGTCATTCAACATAGTAAGTTCAGTCGAGAAATTACATTCAAAAGCAAATTTCGAGTGCTGTAAAGCCCATCATTTTTAGATTCAACCATCATCACACAGTCACGGATCACCCGATTTACACTATATAAGCACTTATAGATTTTAAGATGCAATTTTTCTTCACCGATTGATACTATGTGAAACAAAACTAATTCTGTAGAGTGTACTCAGTGTAGTATATAATTTATCACAGTTTATACAACTGTGAATTTACTGAGCAATACATATACAAAAAGATGGTTACACCTTTACATGAAGTAATCCAGGCCTCGATGTCTTTAGATTGAATATGCTGGTCGTTTATATGACATTGAAATAGTTGACACGGCAGGTCAAGAGGAATTCTCTTCATTCCGCGACTCTTCACTCGCAACAGGAGATGCCTTCCTGATTTTATTTGCAATCAACTCTCAGGCAAGCTGGCTTGAAATGAAAGATTTACGAAGTAAAATTATAGAAGATAAAGAACAACCAAGCCTTCCAATGATTATTGTTGGCAATAAACGGGTGAGACTCCTAATGGCCCAACCATGCAGGATAATAAAAAAATTCTGGTGCATGCATGAAGGGGTTTGTGATGAGGCAGGCAAGGGGTTTTTGCTCAACAGACCAAGCATTTAGATGCCTGAGAATAGTGATCACATGCCTCCATTAGAGACGTACGCATTAGAAGTTCTTACAACTGGGGCAGGTTGTATAAAAACGTCGTTCAGGATTGACCAATCAGAGTCGTATATTTCTGAGTTAACTAGGATTTGACTATGCAAAATGTAGTTTACGACTTAGAGGCTTAGCCTAGCAGAAGTAGTCAAATTATTCTTACAAAGCAAGTCGTTCATATCTTCCCAGGATTTAGAAGACGAACGAGAGGTCGACAGTGACGAAATTCAGGAATATTGTAATACCGTCTCTATTCCTTATATTGAAACGTCCGCTAAGGTTGGTAATGGTATAAAGCCAAGAGAGGCGTGTAGTTGGTGTTTGAATTATCTTGCAACAATTTCAGCTGCATGCAGTTATCTACCTAATTCTACGTTTGAAATACCATCACTGACTGAAAAATAAATCCACATCTGGTGTCCAAAAATGTGGATAAATTCGCTAACATTTGCAATCAGAAATACCGTTATCTCTTTATTTGAAAAAGGGTCAATTTCGGGGTTGTCAATGTATATCGAACTCGCTTGTTGTTGTTTTTTTGCAATATACATGGTTTGTATTGGACGATTGAAACGAGAATCTAACAAGTTCTTAATAAAAATCTGTAAAAAACATTATTTCATATTATGTAGGTGACATTTGGAAGAAAAATTCATATAGGATTCTCACGCTTCTTCGCATTCTTCGAACGCCCTCTTTTAAATTAACAGTAAAATACCGCTCCTGATATGGCTTTTAAACGTCATTGATATTGTCTCTGTATTTCTAATCAACAGTTTGATGTAGCAAAATATATACCGTCAGCTGAATATACGTATATATAGGAATGTAGGACACTAATATTGATTCTAAGTTTCTCTCTTGTTCACTTGAACACGATTATTTATCACCACGCACACGTTTAATATATACCAGATATAATATAGACTGTATTAGTCGTAATTTGTAACATAAACAATAACATTTTTGATATTACTGTAACTACGGTATATACAGTAATAACATTCATACATTGCTAAGGACTAAGTCCCCCCCCCCCACGGTTTAATCTCCGATCATTATGCATCAAATGAGACGCAAAAATATTCAAATTTCTCCTCATTCCTGCAAAGAACATTTTCATTTTTTGCAAGCATTTTTCCAAACTCATAATAATATCTCAATACATATATTGTTAACTTTCGACACTATGTACAATGAAAAGATAAAAAGATAAAAGGTAAGGCGATTAAAAGTACTAGTTTCGTCCTTCGGACCTTTTCAACAAATCGCCTGAAAAGGTTCGAAGGACGAAACTAGTACTTTTAATCGCCTTACCTTTTATCTTTTTATCTTTTTATTGTACATAGTGTCGAAAGTTAACAATATATGTATTGAGATATTATTATGAGTTTGAGCAAAACTTTCTTGGCTGCAGCAACAGATATATCTAGACAAGCATTTCTCCTTCTCTTCAAATGTAGACTGGCTTAAATGTCCAAGAAGCATTTCAACTTATTTATGGTCAGATACACAGGCTGCAAGCACATATGCTTGAAAGAACTTTATCAAGGAGGCCAGCTAAAAGCAAAAAGAAGGACTGCCTGATAGTTTAACACTATTCATATTTGCCAAGTTATACGGACAAAACCTCATATGGGTTTCAGGTTTTATATTAGTTATCATTTGGCTTTTTAATTCAACTGTAACAATAGCTAGCCATTCTATATTTTATCTTATTTAAAGCTAGATCTCCTTATTTAAAAGGATTTATTTGTAATCCTTATATTGTAGTATCTTAAGATGTTTTTTATTCATTGAAAATGTTGTGCTCCGCCCCCGCCATTGCATGTACTTGTAGTCTCACCACTCTAGGATGCTTATAACATGACGTGCTTAACGATCATAGAAACGCTCAAAGGGTTTGCACGGCTAAAAGCGCTCATGTTCGCCGTTGATGAAACAAGGTTGCATGACGAACTTGGTTATCAAGATGCAGCAACTTGTTGAAGGCTAACAAGACGCTGCGAACTTGATTGCAACCATGTTCGTGAGGTACAGCAAAACTTTTCCAAATTCCAAGGGCTTAGACTACTTTGTTTGTATATATAGAAATATTTTTTCATACATGGAAAGCGTACTTATATATACAGCAAAAAGCCGTTACCACGGTCGATGAAAATAGCAGGAATGAACTGTTGTGATGCACCCAAGAACATGGATATAACGATGTTGCTGGGTAAATCACAACATTTGCTCATGCAGTGCTGCATGTTTTTATCAGCGGGGAACAACCTGGTCACTGTCCACAATAACACATGCAGTATATTTTATGGCTGGCCATGCAAGTTCATCTATACAGAATTTTCCTGAATCGTGAATCAGTCTTGCAAGTTTTTTTTTTATTTCCACCACACGTATATATCTTCTATTTGCACACCAAACAGTGTGTCGCAGTGTGGATCATTTATAAGTATACTAGTCCAATGCCTGTATCAACGAATCAAGGACACGATATGGAATCTGTAACTTCCAGCGCTGGTTGTCCACAGGTAGAGTGAAAAATCGTTTATCATAAGACAAATTTCCGGCGACTTGTGTCCATTTCTTTGCGCTAAAATGAAATATAATTTGACATATTATACGTCTACATACTTTGTATGTTTCGTACTCTTTACAGTTTTTTTGTCATATATAAGGTACATTAAACTGTACCTTGTGTATCCATTCATACTCTCCAAACTTTGTATCAAATGTTCCCCGCTGTAAAGACCTCAATTTTAATGTAAATCTAGGTCCTAGTTCCTGAAGGCCAGCTTTCTCCGAGTTCTTGAAAATGTACCTGAAATACGAGAAACGAAAATATGCTTTTGTTCTGAGCACTGCAATTCAACCATATTCGAACTATATTGGAGTGGATATTTGCTTACCTATGGTGTCTAAAGAATATGAAATCTCTCTGATTGTGAAATGTTGCGCAACGTCTTCCTTCAAACTGAGGATCATATGGAAACAATGACGCCAGCAGTCTGGCAACAGAATGACCCAGCCTCGTCTTGAAGTTATTTAATATCACTTCAGGCCGATGAGATGATGCTCTTCCGTGATTCTATAAAGAACATCGAGTATGTAAATTTACGCCTAATTAACTAAGTCTTTCCATACACCTGGTTAAAGTAAACCTATCAGTTTTTTTCACTTGTTTCCCTTAGAGGTGTGAAAGGTCATTTTTATCCTGTGCACGAGATTCACGAGTGTAGAGACCAATGAACACAAGAACAATTAGGCAACAAGTAAGTAAACACTATATTTCCAGACAATCCACGAGCCAATTAAAGTCAGGAGGTTACAATTACATACTTCGCTACAAATTTGTGATTCACACTCTTTCACACACAGAGAGATAGAAAAAACCAACACAAATATTTTGGCAGTCACACTTTGAGAATGTTCTCAAAAAGTGGGCATAAAATTGTGAGAATCTGGAAGAAGCAATAGTTAACACCACGAACATCACATTCACATACCTTAATATGTTTTGATAACTTGATACCGCTTAGTTTAAAATGCGCGGTTGGACCGTCGGGGAGGTGAATTAACAATAGAGCATCTGATATTTCTGTCAAGAAAAATTATTAGGACAGAAAGTATAGCAAGCCCGCAAGCAAGACTTGTATAAGCAATGCGATTAACCTTACTAATGAACCTTAGTAATAACTAGCTAATGAGTCTAACCACGTGTAAGAGCATATTTGCAAATCACGATTCGTGACCAAGGGGTCGATTTCTATAGGGTTGTTCACAACCCTCCTCTTGCCCCGAGGGGGTCTAGAGAGGTGCAAAAGTCTGACACTCAAAGGAATTACCATAAATCATTCCACTGTCCAATTAACGTATACTCAAATCCAAACCCTGCCACTAACATTTAAGAATAAGGTTTATACAAAATATTTCGCTAGAGAAAAATCCTACGTAAAATACACGTCCAATTACGTTTAAAAGGATACTTGGTTCTTTATGATTTTCATTCACAATAACAAGGTTCGTAAACCCTCTTTCAATCGCCTGAGGAATTATCTTCTTTATGTCAATACCTTTCCTGTGTCTTACTTCAGAGTTTGGGATGATTTGCTCTAACGCATCAACAAATTGCACTGTTTTCTATATTTTTAAATAAAAAAACGCCCTGTGAGCTGTTATTCTGAACTCATGGATTCATGAGGAGGAAGTGAAAAAATTATAGGCATATATAATGCGAGAATGTGATTACCAAAAATGGTGATGAGGATTGAGAATCAGAAGAAAATCTGAGACCGGATTACGGGTATTATTTCTACATTAACAGATAGTATATCAATTTTATTGGTTCGACAGGCACTGTTATCATTGCTATGATATCCTATAATATCCTATAATATCCTATGATATTCCTTTGTTTACTATAACCTCATCTCTCTGCATCTCACCAGCATTTAAGACCTAGCTGGCTAGTCCTCTTGCTTTGTAACATCGCAAAATGCATATAAAATGTCACGAGCACGTACCACAGTGGGTTTGTTACAGGTAGTCAGCAAAACTTTAGATTTCACTTCGCATTGAAAGTAAGTACTGAGTTCATCTGTTTCTTCATCACGTAAGACCTGTGCCGGAAATAAGTTGAAAAGGTCACAGACAATTAAAATGAGATTATGTTATTTTAGTAAACACAAGTGGCACTTTTTTGAGAGGGAAAATTCTAGAAAGTTCCGGATCAGTTTTTTACTCCAAATTTTCACTCCAACTACAAAAAAACTTTAAAACTGTTTATCTTCTCCCTCATATTGGATTTCAACAAATCTAAAAACCGATTCTGGAAATTATTAGGGGGTGTGGGCGTCTCTGCTTTTAAGTCTATTGTTTCAATTGTCTTCAATTTTCTAGCTTAGCCTATAACTGTATATTAGTATAAGCTTTAACTTTTTAATAGCTCCAGCAAACAAATCTATGTCACTACTTATATAGGTCAGTGGGTGTATTCACTGTATCATATTTACCTCTTCATCGTCGCCATCAACCATAGTCTCGTCAGGAAGTCTGGTGTTTTCAATAGTTCTTGGCACTTGCTTTGGCGGGGCCTAAAATTGAGTAAAAATATGTTCAACCCCTTCAAAACAAATCATCGTTATACACGCGTAAAAACGCTCAGGTTGATGCAAGTTGATATAAACAGGATGGAGCAATGTTGTGCTGCCCACATTGTTCAGAGTTGTTATCAATATTGAACAATATTGTTACAACCGATTCAGTTTCAACAATATTGTTCAATGTTGATGCCAACTCTGAACAATGTGGGCAGCACAACATTGCTCCATCCTGTTTGTATCAACTTGCATCAACCTGAGCGTTTTTAGGCGTGTAGTTACGCCTCTGGTTGTGTGGTCAGTGTGATGGACATTTGCATACTTTATATATAATATGAATTGTACATGCATATATCCAATCATCTTGAGGCGGACGTGATGTACGTGATGTACCACGCACGAACCTTAGTTTATAAACTCTCTAACAGCAGAAAAGCCGACTATGTTGAGATACGTGTTAACTAGGATGAGTCTTATCATGAACTCCATTTTACGGACAAGATAGCTCGTTACAGAGAACAACGAGTGCAGTGGTTTCCCGTTTGCAAAACCATATAAGGCGCCATGCTACCTGATTTCTGTAAGTACAGTAACAGGAAAATTCTCCTTTGGATTGTAACGGACAGGAAAATTTCCTTTGTCGGTGAGTTCTCAGGCGGCGTTTATACAAAGGAAACTTTCCTGTCCTGTCCGATGCAAAAGGAGAATTTTCCTGAGTGGAAACTAGCCTTAAGTCCGTCATGTAAAGACTTCCTAAATCGTGTATTCCGTTAATCGTTCATGCATAGTTGAACTACCCAAAATCTATCAAATACGCAACAAACAGTCGGTTTTCGTTTTGTATTTAATGATAAACAACCGCATGCACGGTTCTCTTATTGATCACAGTAACAGGCTATTTATTTATTCGTGCTAACTAATGGTGATAAAATAAATTTTCAATTGAATTGCAAATTACAGTATACATACGTTTATCTAAATTAAGTCTCTCAGAATACTTTGATGGACGTTGGATTAAGTTTTTATGGAAAGACGTTTATTAGGTTAAACCTAGATCAAACGGAACACAAGTTTTTGCAAGTTATTATTATTTGGGAGATTATATAGAAACGTGCAAAGCCCTTTCACGCGGGCAAATTTTCTTTGACATAAAACTGACATTATAGCATTCGATCTTCCGTCGAAATGAGTATTATAGCAGATATTTCGAAATGTCGAAATGAGTATAGCAGATTAAATTTCCCATTTACATGATACAGGCTTAAGAGCTACACGATAATTGCCAAATAAAATTTGCCGTGTAAAAACTGCCTCAAGTGATTATAATAAATGATAATTGTGTGACTTTGAGAAATGTTTCTATATCTGACAATATGCATGCATGTGCATGTTGGTACATATATATGAGTATATTTCATTCACTATAGTTACATAACCTTTATCTTTAACAAACTATTAATAAATATAGCTAAGAGATTATTATATAATTAATATGTTTTATCAAACGATCTGCATGATCTTCCTTTAAAATGCGATGTCAGCGAGCTGACAAAACGACTTGATTTATCTTTTAAATATTGTTGCCCAGGATTTCGGCGTTATTCCATCATCACTACTCTGACTGGAACATCTGGATTTGGCTAATTCAGTGAAACCATCCACAGACTCTACGACCCTTGCGTTAGCGTGATGGTCACTTGAAGTGTTATTGTTCTTCACTTTATACAAAGTATCTTTATTTGAGTCGTTTTTAGAAATTCCATTCATGCGCTCAAGGACGTTTCGAGTTTCAATGACAGAAGCATCACAGCCGTCAGTTTCGCAATCACCAGCAATACTACACTCTTCTTTCGTTGTTGCTTCAGTAATCGGCCTGGCCGTTTTGAACATTTCACTGAAGCTCCCGCATATACGTTGTACGTTGGTTTTGTCCTTACAATATAAAACATGACCTTTTAAGCTTCCTTCATTCCTCGTTTTTGCGACTATGATTAGATATTCTGAATACTTCCAAAATTTCGTTGTCGTAACATCACTGATGTTGCATGCTTTGAAGCTGTGTTGTATTTTATCATCATCATTGAAAATCGTGGCGCCATCCGAATTTATCCTCAGTTTGAATAACATATTGCTAACATAGTTCTTTCTGTATTCACTAACCACATATTTAAAGAATTCGTCTATTTGTGCGTCGGATGAAATGTCGTAATCTTCAGTGATCGCAGTGCAGCCGATGTACTGAACAGAAAATTCATTTCCATCCAGAATGTTACTGCACTCCGTCTCGTTTAAGGCGTGATATTTGCAAACTTTGATGAGTGTTTCAGCTACAGTTGACATCTTTACACAGATGATACTTTTTTATGATGCATGCGTTTTAATAACTACATATAAACATCACTCGGCAGGAGGGAATGTGACCTTTTGTCTGTTTCGTAAGTGGATTTGAAAGGCGGATGAAATCATTTGCGGAATTATGAGTTATGACAGGATGCATATGTATGACACTTAACATGCCAAAACCAATTCGTTCATATCCACAATTTATATGTTTTTATAAAATTCCTTTGGGCCTATTGATACAGATTTTATTATATATCCCACAATACATGTATTTTCTCACAATTAAGTAGTTTTTTAGGATTATAATTAATTAATCTGCATGGTGCTAAGTAAATTTACATTGACGCAAAGCGCCAGTGGGATTCGTGGAATTAGTCGGCCAATAATAGGATTTGGCAGGTTTTTAAGTCAATTTTAAAGCCTGAATATTTCGATAGAGCTCGACCTTTTCGTACATGAACAGCCGAGTAAGCAAGAAAACTTCTCGAACCCAGGCTAACTAGGTAAACCCGGCTGGGGTTTCACCAAAAGACATAATGATGTTTGTTGCTATAATTCTATTTACGTCTATATGAATACAAATAAGTTTACTGTGCTGTTAAGTAATAACTTTGCAATCGCTTCGCCTCGCTTTTTAAAACTTTAAAAACTTAACAAAAGCAACAACATAAGTCATGATGTCAATTTGTAGGTTTCTTTTAACACGACTTGTTCACATTTTGAAGTAGAAATTGCGTGTGCTGGTATGGCTACCTTTCAGCCTACATGCTCAGCAGTCAGCATCACGAGATGAGGCGATATTGACAATTATCACATAGAGAAATGTCGTCCCGGGAAAGCGTGCTAGGCCGTTCTAAGGCTCTCGAAAAGCGAGTTAACCTCAGATAACCCGATACAATCAATAGAGTATATGCGGGCTATTATTGGAAATTATTATTGACAGTGAGGATTATATGAAGTCCGCAGATAATTTCAAAATTCAAAGACCCCCACTCTTTTTTTCTACGACATGCTGGTATATTTACTGCATATTTATCATGACTTCGATGCCATCGTATCCCAGACATTGTTCGTGACTGCATGTGCCTCTGCGGGTGTTCTGCGTTCAAGGAATGTGCTGAGACATGATGAATACTCGTGATACAATGCACAGGTCAACAAAGGTTGTGCATAAATTATTATTCTTCAATACCTATTCCTTCCTGGTGTAATTATTAAATATCTTTACTGCACGACGTATATTCTATAGTTTGAAAACTTCCTGTTCAAAACGGCGAAACCCAGGTGAAGAAATTTTACGGAGAAATTGAAGGGAGAAAGTTCATTTCTGCTTTTTAAAACTTGTGGTGATTAAGCCCAACAAATTTGCTTTAAAAGCGCTATAACGTACTGTTTTTTTCACTAGATAGACAATAGACATGACATGTATACGGGGTGGATAAAAAAAACCGGATATGCCTACTCATATACAAATTGCTGTATAGTTGCATGTTATATAATTTTTTGCTAGAAGTTGCCAAAACTCTAAAATAAATGAATAAATAATTCCTTCTTGTTCCTTTTGAGAGCCAAAATACATTCTTATGACGCTGTAGTCAAAATACATTCTAATGGCGAGAGACAGAATACATTCTAATAGTCCTGTTTAAGACAAGAACGAAACAGGGACCCCGCTTTGAGCAGTGCACGGCAGTTTTTTAACTTTTTTGAGCAGTACATGGCAGTTTTTTAACTTTTTTTTCACATGAACGCTTGACCCATCTTGACCCGAAGTCCTGAACATTATTACACTGACATTGTATTTCTTGACAAACGTCCTTATTTGATCATCAGTTTTGTAAAATCACATGTATCTCCAGAAATTTTCTTACAATTTTAAAAAGTGGTGCAACTCCAGTTTATAATGATCCCTGCCTGTTACAAGGTTCAAATTTTCCAAGGTTGCAATTTGCAATACAAAGTGTAAAGAGATGTAAATTTGGTAACTTTGTGTATAACAGGTACTTTACTAGATACAGAACTGCAATGAGATAAGCAGGGTGGTAAGAAGAAGTAAATGCGTTTGCCTTTGGTGAAGCGTGGTTGTATTTTTTTACCAGTGAAACCATGATTGACAATTTTGTAATCTGTGTTTCATGATTGATCTACGAAAAATTAACTTCAAATTATAGCTTCGAAATATAACTTCAGATTTATGTGTGACCCGTGAATGCAATCTACAATCTATGTCATCCAATCAAGGTACCCAGAGTGTAGAATATCATGCCTTATTTCAGGGCAAGGCATGAAGGTGTGAAAAACTTTTCAAGATAGTCAATATGGGAGTCATATGATGTATGATATGGCAGTGGAGCAACTACCCTCATGGCTCTGGCACGGTTTCGAAAATCTTTACAAGTGTATCAAAGTGTTACCCTTGTCTTCCAAGGTCTCTGGCCAACATAAACTTACTTGTTCCCACATGAGAGTGACGAGACATTTCTCAAAGATAGTCCGCACATTGTTCATGTTTATCATACATATAAGCATGTTGCATTGTCTTTCATGTTGGTGGGCATTTGACTATTTTTTAAAACTACTACATTTGAAAGTAAACCTGAGGATGGATGGGTTTCATTCTTATTCACCTGGTTTGCTAGACATTATCATTAGTTCATAAACTAAGGATAAGGATAATAATAGTTACAAAATAATAGCAAGAGGAAAGGTAGGAAAGTTATTTATAAAATATGAAAATAGAAACTGAATGAACACGTGTTTCTGAGCTATTTAACAAGTGTTTTATCCAGACTATCCACAATATTGTATGGTCTGTTGTTAATATCGTAGTAAGCTCTTTTTCCCGTCTGATTTTCCGCGCTAAAATATAGATTATTTTGAACACGCAACACGCAGGATAAACATCGGCAATCGGAGAACGACGAGAATTGATCAACTGATCTAAAACTCACGTCACGTGTACTTTCAGAGTCTGACTGTTATTGCTATAAAGAGTAGAGACCCAAACTTCTCACCTCATCTCCGAGCGCTTCTTCTTCTCTTTTTCTCTTTTTCTTTCTTTCTCTCTTTTCCTTATTCTTGTTATGCTTTTCTTGTTTATACAAAGAACTTCTTCTTACTTTATTTCTGACACGGGACAGGTCTATAGAACGCTTTTTCTCACAACTATTAACTTCGTTTACGTCGTTTTTGTCAGCCATCTTGCTCGTAGTATTTATTGACCATATATACTGTATTAAAACCCTTTATATCCATATATGTTCAAGTGGTTTTAGTCACTATATCCTTGAATATCCCCATCTGAGTGGTTCATTTAGGTTCAATAATCTATTGACTGGTTTATACTTCAGCTGATAGAGTTTGGTATAAAAGAACTATTAACAAGAGAATTTTATTTTCTATAAAAATGCAAGGGGGAAAATTTTTGGCAAAGCTGCAGTCAGGTTATACTATTCCATTACTAGGACTGGGAACATGGAAAAGCAAACCAGGAGTTGTAGGCAGTGCGGTCAAAAGTGCAATTGATTGTGGATACCAACACATTGATTGTGCTGCAATTTATGGCAATGAGAAGGAAATAGGCGAAGCTTTCGCGGAGAAAATTGGAAAGGTATGTGAAAATGAGAAAAGCGTGAGGACTACATGGGACTACAATTGTAGCCCTTAATGAGTTAATTGTAATTGTGGTATAATATCAGACTTTCCTGAAAAATCATATACTTCGCTAATAAATTTTGTGAACATCCCATCATACCGTGGATAAGCATGGTGATCTGTGTATACTGAATACACTGCATAATTATACTACCATACTACTAAAACACTTAATCTCCCTAAGGATCTTAGGGGTGCCATTTTCATGATCCTGCTTCAGCACATGGTCTACATCCATCCTTCAGTTAGTAATTTTTGTTGCAGCAGGTGTTATAGTCACTCTACCACAGAATACCTATCAGAAGAATAACTCTATACTATTTTTTGTAAGTGTGATTCGTCATGATTCGTCACTAAGCAAGTGCATTTTTTTGAGGCAGTCACCCCCCTGCCAATGTCTAAAATCAGAACATTTTTAGTATTGGCAGGGGGGTGACTACCTCAAAACAATGCACTTGCTAAGTGACGAATCATGACGAATCACGAAAAAAGTACAGGAGTTCTACTTCTGATAGGTATTCTGTGACTCTACTGAAGACGTACTATGGTTGTGAAGAAAGAAATTAGTTTTTTAAAAAAATTTTCATTTATAATCAATTCTTTATGGACTGTTAAGGGCAATCTGTCTAGTCAAATATTTGTGTTGTATAAATTTTAGAATATTGAAAGAAAAGATCTATTTGTAACTTCAAAATTATGGAACACCAAACATGGAGCAAATGATGTTAAACCAGCCTTTGAGAAAACATTGAAAGATTTACAGCTAGATTATCTTGATCTGTATCTAATTCATTGGCCTATTGGACTGAAATCTGGAGATAATCCATTCCCTAAGAATGAAGATGGAAGTCTTCAGTATAGTGATGTACATCCATTTGAAACATGGCAAGAAATGGAGAAGTTAGTGGATGAAGGCTTAGTGAGATCTATTGGTAAAAAAATACTTTCTATATATATACATACATACATAAATTTCTTCAATATTTAGGGCATATATCTGGAGTATTAGGCATTTAGGAGTTGTCATAGTATCTGATATATTATTAAAGCTTATTCTGGTAGTACCATCTTATTTATCTGAACTGCCTGGAAAGAAGGAGTTATGCCATATTATAATGGAGTTCTTGCCAGCAGTAAAGTTGAAACAAATTAAATTTGTTTGTTTTGTCCCTAAGGGTTATCTAACTTCAATAGCAAGCAAGTGAAAGAAATAGTTTCAAAAGCAAGAATCAAACCATCTGTTCTTCAAGTGGAATGTCATCCCTATCTTAACCAGAAAGAACTTATAAATTTTTGTAATCAGCATGACATTCTTGGTAGGTATAAACTGTGGTATATATGAGGTTTTCAACCTTATACAGAACGAACATGATGTAATTATATGATAGTTAACAATGGATTTTGCTGTAAATAAGGTCATGAGAATTGAGACGGTGCTACACGCTGTATTGATCGATTTTTCTGCTTAGACATTAAATCCTAGGGTTTTTGCGGTCAATTTAATGGCGGAGGTTGGGGCATGCATGCAGATTATGGAGGTACATGTAATGTGAAAGATATTGACCTTCTTAAGAAGATTTTATTGATTTTCTTATGCTTTATAGTGACAGCATATAGTCCACTTGGATCACCAGATCGTCCTTGGGCAAAACCTGAGGATCCGCTGTTGTTAGATGACAATAAAATTGTTGCAATTGGCAAGAAGTACAACAAAACTGCTGCCCAAGTTTGTATCAGGTTCCAAATAGAACGAGGACTTTCTGTTATTCCTAAAAGTACTTCAGCTCAAAGAATCAAAGAGAATAGCAAGGTATGATTGACACTGCATATAGTAATTTAGCCTACATTATTGATTGCACTATTCGTCACCATTCTATACTTATAGATTAACTGTGGTCTGTGGATGTTGAGCATATTTTAAATGTAATGCATGAAGGTTCCCAGGGGTGGACTGGCTATAATTTAGACCCTTGGGTAAGATGGAAATTTGGGCCCCGGCTATTCCTTTGTATATCGCAGATTAGGCAACGGTTCTCCATAGCAGTTGCAGCCATTTTCCAAAAGTTGTCTACATAACTCAAAATTTAAGCCAAATGATCTTCAGTGTAAGTTTTCAACCAAGCTAGCTTATGTTCACACACCAGAGTCATATATATTTATTTGTGAATATCTTATTCAGGTGTTTGACTTCAGTTTATCACCTGAAGATATGAGTATAATTGAATCATTTCACAGACCATGGAGAGCTTGCATTCCAATGATAGAGGTACACTAACTATACATACTGTGCACACTTAATCTGTCCTTAGTTATATAAACTGATTTATAAATTTGCTTGGTCTCGATAAGCACAATAATTATTTTTCTAAAGTTATACGACTCGTTTTCGACTTTCACTCTCTGGGCATTTCAGCAGCACAAATAGTTTTTAAACTTTAAAAAACTTTTTAAAAAGTTTTTAAACTTTTTATTTAAAAATACAAAGGAAAAAATTAGCAAAACAACGGTATATATTCTAACTATTCCACCAAAAGCTTTAAGTTCATATGTATCTTTTAGACGTTATGATTAAAGTATGTTTCTGTGATTTTTCAGGTTAATGGAAAACAAGTACCACGCGATGCGCATCATCCTCATTTTCCCTTTCATGAACCTTTTTAATGTCAAGAGAATTTTATAAGAAAAACTATATCAACACATTTATCACTTAAAATGAGTTTATGTTTATACATAAATATAGACTATAGACCTAAAATGTAATGATTTATATTTAATTATATGTAGACTGCGCGTGATGCTAACCCTAGGTAGCCCAAAGGTATTTGTGTTTTAATCTAAAGCGTCCATCCAGTTTAATATCGCGGTCTGTGACGTAAACACATTGCTATGCTAACTGGTTTTTTTTTCTCTTTTTCAAACTACTTGCTAACAACCTTTTTTAATCAATTTTGCATGTCTATAAACGGGATAAAAGGTTTCACCTTTGCGTCTCCCCGCGAATTTTAAGGCGGGCTAATAAAATGCCAAATTCGCGTTAGTATTTAGACACCCACTGAGTGGGTTACAGGTGTGCCGTTTTGAGGATGCATTACCAAACTAGTATAGTTTACAGTCCTCAACCCCTATATGTGTACGTTCCTCTATGATATGGTAATAACAGGCTGATATATGTTTAGTGAAAACATAAACCCACAAGTCATAACATCAATGCATTATGCATAGCCCAATGCATATGACGCCAATATATTTTGAAAAAATAATTTACAAAACCATGAGAATACATTTAAAATAAATGGGAATAAGTATATTGTTGGCTTCATATATACGCCACCACCTGCTCAGAGTTATGTATTATGTCTTCACTTTTATTAATATACTTTAGGCTCACGAATAATTATTTTCACCGCCTGGAATGGGCCAAAAAAACGAACAATAAAATTTGTGCTATATTTTTCTTATTTTACATTTCGTAAAAATACACTTTGCAGTTTTTCGATTTAAATAAGCAGCTAGTGCATGGATAAAACCTACTGCATATAGTCTATACTGGAATAATCCATTGAGAAAATACATCAACAATAATTACACTTCTTTTTTACTCATGATCGCGGTGATTATGCACTTTACAAGGGCGCTTTGTCTTTCAGGCCCGTAACAGCCGCACGAGCAGAATTTCAAAGGTCGCTTCGCCGCGCGGTTGAAGCGAAAATGAATGTAATGAAAACAGCCTTTGCATCAGTCTCCAGGGAATACAACGTCCATTTGTACACGCAAAATCATAGAAGGACGAGCATGGCTTTATATCAACTGTAAAATAAGGAATTTAAAAGTAAAATTACAAAAAATAATGGAGCAAGTCCACTCAATTTTTGCAAAATTACGCATGTAAAAATTTATAATGAAAACGCGGAACATACCATCTCGGGTTTCATGGAAAACGACTAACTCGACCATGATCGAGTTTGCCGAAAAACGACTAACTCGACCATCGTCGAGTTCGCCGGAAAACGACTAACCCTATCCCTAAGCCCCGCCCACCGAAAGTGACGTCATAATTAGAATAAGTGGGCGTATCTGACCATGCTTACAAAAAATCGGAAGTTGAAAGTCAAAGCGTAAGGAAGTAGCGAAATATCCCCCGCCCACCGGAAGTTACATCATAATTAGATTAAGTATGCGTGTCTGACCACGCCCACAAAAAATCAGAAGTTGAAAGTCAAAGCGTAAGAAAGTAGCGAAATAAGCCCTGCCCACTGGAAGTGACGTCATAATTAGATTAAGTGGGCATGTCTGATCACGCCCACAAAAAATCGGAAGTTGAAAGTCAAAGTGTAAGTCACTTCTGGTGGGCGGGGCTTATTTCGCTACTTCCTTACGCTTTCACTTTCAACTTCCGATTTTTTGTTCTGATTTTTGTATAGTTCATTCACAGTTCAGTTCTGATTTTTGTACAGTTCACACACAGTTCAGTTCTGATTTTCGTACAGTTCACACAGTTCAGTTCTGATTTTCGTACAGTTCACACACTGTTCAATTCTGATTTTCGTACAGTTCACACAGTTTAGTTCTGATTTTTGTATAGTTCACTCACAGTTCAGTTCTGATTTTCGTACAGTTCACACACAGTTCACTTCTGATTTTCGTACAGTTCACACACAGTTCAGTTCTTATTTTCGTACAGTTCAACACAGTTCAGTTCTGATTTTTGTACAGTTCAAACACAGTTCAGTTCTGATATTTGTATAGTTCTCTCACAGTTCAGTTCTGATTTTCGTACAGTTCACACACAGTTCAGTTCTGATATTTGTATAGTTCATTCACAGTTCAGTTCTGATTTTTGTACAGTTCACACACAGTTCAGTTCTGATTTTCGTACAGTTCACACACAGTTCAGTTCTGATTTTTGTATAGTTCATTCACAGTTCAGTTCTGATTTTCGTACAGTTCACACAGTTCAGTTCTGATTTTCGTACAGTTCACACACAGTTCAGTTCTGATTTTTGTATAGTTCATTCACAGTTCAGTTCTTATTTTCGTACAGTTCAACACAGTTCAGTTCTGATTTTTGTACAGTTCAAACACAGTTCAGTTCTGATATTTGTATAGTTCTCTCACAGTTCAGTTCTGATTTTTGTACAGTTCACACACAGTTCAGTTCTGATTTTCGTACAGTTCACACAGTTCAGTTCTGATTTTCGTACAGTTCACACACTGTTCAATTCTGATTTTCGTACAGTTCACACAGTTCAGTTCTGATTTTTGTATAGTTCACTCACAGTTCAGTTCTGATTTTCGTACAGTTCACACAGTTCAGTTCTGATTTTCGTACAGTTCACACACTGTTCAATTCTGATTTTCGTACAGTTCACACAGTTTAGTTCTGATTTTTGTATAGTTCACTCACAGTTCAGTTCTGATTTTCGTACAGTTCACACACAGTTCACTTCTGATTTTCGTACAGTTCACACACAGTTCAGTTCTTATTTTCGTACAGTTCAACACAGTTCAGTTCTGATTTTTGTACAGTTCAAACACAGTTCAGTTCTGATATTTGTATAGTTCTCTCACAGTTCAGTTCTGATTTTCGTACAGTTCACACACAGTTCAGTTCTGATATTTGTATAGTTCATTCACAGTTCAGTTCTGATTTTTGTACAGTTCACACACAGTTCAGTTCTGATTTTCGTACAGTTCACACACAGTTCAGTTCTGATTTTTGTATAGTTCATTCACAGTTCAGTTCTGATTTTCGTACAGTTCACACAGTTCAGTTCTGATTTTCGTACAGTTCACACACAGTTCAGTTCTGATTTTTGTATAGTTCATTCACAGTTCAGTTCTTATTTTCGTACAGTTCAACACAGTTCAGTTCTGATTTTTGTACAGTTCAAACACAGTTCAGTTCTGATTTTGTATAGTTCTCTCACAGTTCAGTTCTGATTTTTGTACAGTTCACACACAGTTCAGTTCTGATTTTCGTACAGTTCACACAGTTCAGTTCTGATTTTCGTACAGTTCGCACACTGTTCAATTCTGATTTTCGTACAGTTCACACAGTTCAGTTCTGATTTTCGTACAGTTCACACACAGTTCACTTCTGATTTTCGTACAGTTCACACACAGTTCAGTTCTTATTTTCGTACAGTTCAACACAGTTCAGTTCTGATTTTTGTACAGTTCAAACACAGTTCAGTTCTGATATTTGTATAGTTCTCTCACAGTTCAGTTCTGATTTTTGTACAGTTCACACACAGTTCAGTTCTGATTTTCGTACAGTTCACACACAGTTCAGTTCTGATATTTGTATAGTTCATTCACAGTTCAGTTCTGATTTTTGTACAGTTCACACACAGTTCAGTTCTGATTTTCGTACAGTTCACACACTGTTCAGTTCTGATTTTCGTACAGTTCACACACAGTTCAGTTCCGATATTTGTATAGTTCTCTCACAGTTCAGTCCTGATTTTTGTACAGTTCACACACAGTTCAGTTCTGATTTTCGTACAGTTCAACACAGTTCAGTTCTGATTTTCGTACAGTTCACACACAGTTTAGTTCTAATTTTTGTATAGTTCATTCACAGTTCAGTGCTGATTTTTGTACAGTTCACACACAGTTCAGTTCTGATTTTCGTACAGTTCACACAGTTCAGTTCTGATTTTCGTACAGTTCACACAGTTCAATTCTGATTTTCGTACAGTTCACACAGTTTAGTTCTGATTTTCGTATAGTTCACTCACAGTTCAGTTCTGATTTTCGTATAGTTCACACACAGTTCAGTTCTGATTTTCGTATAGTTCACACACAGTTCAGTTCTTATTTTCGTACAGTTCAACACAGTTCAGTTCTGATTTTTGTACAGTTCAAACACAGTTCAGTTCTGATATTTGTATAGTTCTCTCACAGTTCAGTTCTGATTTTCGTACAGTTCACACACAGTTCAGTTCTGATATTTGTATAGTTCATTCACAGTTCAGTTCTGATTTTTGTACAGTTCACACACAGTTCAGTTCTGATTTTCGTACAGTTCACACACAGTTCAGTTCTGATTTTTGTATAGTTCATTCACAGTTCAGTTCTGATTTTCGTACAGTTCACACAGTTCAGTTCTGATTTTCGTATAGTTCACACACAGTTCAGTTCTGATTTTTGTATAGTTCATTCACAGTTCAGTTCTTATTTTCGTACAGTTCAACACAGTTCAGTTCTGATTTTTGTACAGTTCAAACACAGTTCAGTTCTGATATTTGTATAGTTCTCACACAGTTCAGTTCTGATTTTCGTATAGTTCACACACAGTTCAGTTCTGATTTTCGTATAGTTCTCACAGTTCAGTTCTGATTTTCGTACAGTTCACACAGTTCAGTTCTGATTTTCGTACAGTTCACACAGTTCAGTTCTGATTTTTGTATAGTTCGCTCACAGTTCAGTTCTGATTTTCGTACAGTTCACACACAGTTCACTTCTGATTTTCGTACAGTTCACACACAGTTCAGTTCTTATTTTCGTACAGTTCAACACAGTTCAGTTCTGATTTTTGTACAGTTCAAACACAGTTCAGTTCTGATATTTGTATAGTTCTCTCACAGTTCAGTTCTGATTTTTGTACAGTTCACACACAGTTCAGTTCTGATTTTCGTACAGTTCACACACAGTTCAGTTCTGATATTTGTATAGTTCATTCACAGTTCAGTTCTGATTTTTGTACAGTTCACACACAGTTCAGTTCTGATTTTCGTACAGTTCACACACTGTTCAGTTCTGATTTTCGTACAGTTCACACACAGTTCAGTTCCGATATTTGTATAGTTCTCTCACAGTTCAGTCCTGATTTTTGTACAGTTCACACACAGTTCAGTTCTGATTTTCGTACAGTTCAACACAGTTCAGTTCTGATTTTCGTACAGTTCACACACAGTTTAGTTCTAATTTTTGTATAGTTCATTCACAGTTCAGTGCTGATTTTTGTACAGTTCACACACAGTTCAGTTCTGATTTTCGTACAGTTCACACAGTTCAGTTCTGATTTTCGTACAGTTCACACACTGTTCAATTCTGATTTTCGTACAGTTCACACAGTTTAGTTCTGATTTTTGTATAGTTCACTCACAGTTCAGTTCTGATTTTCGTACAGTTCACACACAGTTCACTTCTGATTTTCGTACAGTTCACACACAGTTCAGTTCTTATTTTCGTACAGTTCAACACAGTTCAGTTCTGATTTTTGTACAGTTCAAACACAGTTCAGTTCTGATATTTGTATAGTTTCTCACAGTTCAGTTCTGATTTTCGTACAGTTCACACACAGTTCAGTTCTGATATTTGTATAGTTCATTCACAGTTCAGTTCTGATTTT